AGGGCTTGGTGTCACCCGCACAGGTTTCTAAGTATAGACCCCAGGCTGCCCCGTGGCTGCTGGGAAGTCCCAGGATTTGATACCTAGACTGGCCTGTGACACCAGTGGCTGCCAGCTGCTGAAGGGGGGTGGCTGCCATGCTGGGTCACCCATCTCCACTGTCTGCTGTAGACAGGAGAAAATGGGAGTTTGATTGTCACAGGCTGGAGTGACCTCAGTGCTCAGTTTACCATGCTCATAATGATCATCAGAAGGAATAACTGGGTTACCTACTGGGGAATAAAAAGCATGGCTCGTGGGGACAGGCAGAGCCCCCTACTCCTTGAGGGGGGCAGCGCTCTCGGCACTACTCCATATTCTTGCTGCCCCCTTCCACGCTCCTTGCTAACCTTGAGACTTGGGGGAGCCTGGGATTGGCCCTTCCGCAGCGGGCTCTCAGCGGTGTCGTCCTTCCTTTGTTTCAGTTAATAGTTTCTTTTTCAGACAGAAGCTGAGGTGAGTGAGCGGTGATTCTCACAGAAGCAGATTGGATTCAGCCTCATCCCTTCTCCAGAGCTCCAGGGTATACCTGGATGGGAGTCAGGGGAGACCTTGACCACCCTTGACTTTCAGACAACGTCCCATCTTCCACTTGCTTCCAAGCAGATGGGCTGCCCTCATGGGGCCTGGGGTCCCAGAGTGGCTTTACCTGCCAGGTTGTCAGCAGGCCTGTGGTTCACCTTCAGCAGGTGGTGACACCAAATCCCTAACTTGCTTCTTGTTAAGAGAATATTCTGACCAGAGTGACTCTGGTCAGAAATAACTCCCGAACTCACACTTGGTGGGCAAGTCACACCCAGGTGTGGGTTGGGGAGTACTGAGTTGCCTGGGGGCATTGCCTGAGCCCTGCTTCGGGACAGCCCTGTGTGGCATCAGTAGCCTGACTGTGGTCTAATGCCGCCCAGGGGAGAGCAGGGTGGGTGGGAGGTGCCTTTGCTATGGTGTGCTGGTGACCCGATTCCTCAGGCCCTCTCCCCTCTGAGGTCAGCCATAGGAGCTGGAAGGCCAAGGTTACTTTGCCGATGAGGTCAAGTGTTGGGTGGGAACCTTGCTGAGACATGGGCGTCCATGAAATGTCACCCAGCACTTTTACTGCTGAGCCCCCAACCCTCCCCACTTGCCTATAGAAAATGAGCCAGGACATCACGGATCAAAGAAACCTTTGGAAGGTGTTCATCAGGGTCTCCAGGCTGGAGACATGGAGTCTGGGGGCTCCATGTCACCCTAGGATGTGGTTGTTTATTTAGACTGTACAGGTCTGTACCCATTGTCATCATGTGAAAGAATCAGCCCTTCGAAAATATTCAGATTTCTGGCCTCTCCCTGGTGGTACAGCCAGGCTAAAGCACCGCATTATGAAGCTCTCTAGAGCCACTGCAGCACGAGTTCAATCCCCGGCCAGGGAGGTGACCCACATGCCACAGCAGACCTCTCCTGACCCGCCCGCTGCTCTCTTCAGCAGTGTATTTCAGTCCATCTGCCTGTTCTGCTCTCCACTCTGTCTCTGGTGAATCCTCTCACCCACCACACCTCTGGCCTGTACCCTAGTCCTGTAAGCATAAATAAATAAATCTTTAAAAAAAATATTCAGATTTCTTAAAACCAGAAGATCTGGAGTCCTCCCATAACCTCCCCTTCTACCCGAAGGCTGTGGGGAGCTGAGGATAGGTTTCCATTAGGGACACCTTGCTTCTGTCAGATTTCCTGTCTAGTAAACAGGCAAGTGAAGTATTTCTAGTACTTCTGTAAGAGATCCTTGATTAACAGATTCTTGCTGGTGTCATTTCTCCCCACGGTGAGCTCTGAGCCTTGACTTTGAGGTGCTTACTGTACAGGTAACCAGCTGACTGGTGGGTGGTGCCGCTGACTGAAGCTGCATATTTCAGTCCATCTGCCTGTTCAGGGATCCAGCCCCTCTCCCCAGTTCAGGGATCCAGTCCTTCGGCGAGGCGGGACTAGAAAGTGGGAGGAGTAATCAGAAACAGGGTGACGGCAGTGTACTAGGCATTAGACTGCACAGTTCACGCCCCGGACTCTGCCCTTATTCTGGAGCGGCAACGCCAGTCTAACTGGGACCGCTGCCCCCAACATTGTCTTCCTGGTTTGAATTGGAGCATGAAGAGGAAACACGGACAGGAAGGCAAAACATCCTCTCACCTTATTCCCACAGTGGACTGACCTTGGAAGCCTGAGGAGAATGAGAGAAATATCCCAGCTAATCTGGAGCTGTAAGGAAATTCCTTTCTGTCTTTTATTTATTTATTTATTTTAAGAATGAATTTGGACATACTTTGTCTTTTGTCTTGGGGGTTGTCACTGGAAAAGGAAAAAAAAAGTTGTATTTTATAAGATAGCTGTTTGTTTTTCCCAGAATACAGGTAGAGAGTAACTTCTTTAATTTGCTTTGGGAAAAAATACTCCCCTCAAAAGGTAGCTTCTGCACCTCAGGGCTTTGCCAGGGTTGCAGGGACAATGTGGGCAGTTGAAGCTCTGGCATATCTGGGCTTCAGTTCTGACCCCTGCTTGTCCACTTGGCTACCTTCACGGTCATTTTAAGCTTCAGTAAATGGGCTTAATGGCATCTCCTCTGTGAACTGTGTTTGCGTGGAGACAGTTTCCAAAGCCTGGGGTCTTGTATGACATTACTAATAATAACTGTAGTTAGGTTTGAAAAACTGAAAATGTGGTGTGGGTGGTGAGGAGAAGAATGCCAACAAGGAACCCTATGTACTTTATCGTTGGGGGATTGGGTTTCTAGGCTCATGACACACCCCTATCCTCACCCCAACCCCCTATCACTCGGCTATAGGAATCCCATCTTTGGGAGGACTACTGAGTCCTCATGACTTTGGCAACTACAGTTCCCAACTACAGTATAGGTGAGAACTGAGGAGCTGCCAGGAAAAACTCAGGTTGTTTGTACAGGGATATAAGGGTCAGTGTTACCACCATTTGTTATTGTCCTGACTGGAGGCAAATGGCGTTCATAGCACATGGCGGGGAGATGATTCAAAACTGCACTGGGGTGAAAAGGGTTACTGAGAGCAATAAAGGAAGACACGTTGACTGCAGAAGCTCTGCCCAGAGACCATCCTCTAAGCAGCCTCCTCTCTGTGCTGTTCTTACAACGGTTGATGCTTTAATTTTATCATCTGGAAGGATTTCTGACAACCAAGGGCTTGTCCAACCAGTGACAAATGACCAGCAATAATAGCACTGTGAGACACTCAATCTAATTTGCAGTGTGAATTGTCTTAAGCAGCTGGAGATTATTATTGTTCACAACCCGGTAGACTAAAGAATATTCAGCGAAACGCCAAGGTGGGGAGGGGTAGACATAGCCATGCACCAGGGGCCAGACCTAGGCCTTGACGCCCGAGAACCTTAAAAACCCCAAAACTGTTGCCCTAAGGACTCAGCCAGCGTCATCATGCTGGTTTGGACAGCCTAAGAGCCGAAGATCTACAGGAGCATGAATTGACTGTCAATAACACTACTCTTAAAACTTGCTAAAAAGCCATGAAAATCAGCCTACAGCCTCATACATGATGAACTTTTATTAATCATCTGTGTGGGAATCTGAGAAATACTGAAAGGGGCCAAAGACGGGGGAACACCATCTCGGCATGGGCCCCGTGGCCCCAGACTCTCTCCGGTGCGTGACTGTGTGTGTGGCAGTGACTTGTTTCATGTTTGCTCCCCTGCTGCCCTGCAAGCCCCTGAGACCAGGGCCGTGTGCCGTGGTTCTCTGTTACTCTGGACTCGGCATCACATGTGGCTCAGTCAGAGCTGCGGTTTCCTCCCTCCTCCGCAAGGTGCATGAGCTTTGATAGTAGTCCTTGCTTCAAATGTGCACTCTTTGTGTTATTTTTCTGTTGTGACAAATTTCCACACCCTCATGGCTTAGACCATCCCCATTCACTGGCTCACGGTTCAGTACGTGAAGACTAGATGGAGGAGGCCCGGCAGGCTCCTCCAGCTTCCCTGCTTAGCAGCTCACAGGAGCGAAGCCAGGGGAGGCATCAGCCCGCCTGACCTCTTAGCTGGAAAGCCTTGGGAGAATTAAATCCAGTCCTTCAGATTGTTGGCAGAATCCACTTCTTTGGCCACGGTCCTGAGGATCCTTGTTCCTTGCTGGCCAGTGAGGACTCCTTCCTAGTGGTCACCCGCCCACCTGCTCATGGGTCCCCTCCGTCTGTGAAGCACACGAGTTTTAGGTCTCTGACTTCCTCCTCTCCTCCCTAGCCAGAAAAGACGTTCTGGTTAGTTTGGCCTGCTCAGAACATTTCCCTCTGCCTGATAATGTGCCCAGTCCAGGAGCAGCACCAGGGGTCAGAGGTCATGCCTGTCACATGCTCCCCCTTCTGTACCCACTGAGTGACTTTAGGCCAGTCACTTAACCCCTGAGCTGCTTTCCCCAGTTGTCAAGGGAGCTGGATGTAAAGTGTTGATTGGGATCACATCAGGTGAGTTGTAGCCTACTCCGTGCTTAGTGAGGGTTATTCTTGTTAATCCTTCGCTTGTTAAACCAGTTTTATTTGAACTCTATCTTGTTTGATTCAGATACAACAAAAATGTAAAGGGCTATCTTTATCTCAAGTACTTGTCATTCTGGAAAGTTGTCATGATTCATCATTTTTCTGCGCTGAGAAATAAAAACAAGGAGGGTCAACATGCCCCCCCATCAAAACTCTGCGTTTTCCTTCCTCCTCCTATCCAGCCCCAGCCCCAACCCCAAAGGTTTGGCGGCTGCTTCAGCTGCTCTCCGGGAGCACTGGGGGTGGGGGCAGGAGCGGGCTGCCGTGTCCTCAGACAAGTGGTGGCTTCAGCGGGAGGCCCGCCCTGCCAGCAGCTGGCCCCTGCCACTCAGCGGAGGCCGGCCCTGGGCAGGAGGAGGCTGAGGAGGCTGCCGGGGTCCCTGGCTGCTCACCGCGCCCGGCTATCTCTCTGTGCTTCCTCAGGAGATCCTCCACGAGCTCACGCTCGATGTGCTGCTGGAGATGAACGAGGCCAAGGTAAAGGAGACGCTCCGACGTTGCGGGGCCAGCGCCGAGGAGTGCAGCCGCCTGCAGTATGCCCTCACCTGCTTGCGGAAGGTGACAGGCCTGGGTAGGTAGCACCCTCCTCTCCAGCTCCAAGGCCAGAGCCCTCAGCTCCCGCTTTTCCACCCCGGTGGCCTCCATCCTGGCCTTCTCCCCAGGCCTGGCTTGGTTTTCTGGGGGCCACTGCCTTTGCCGAAGTGGACGATGGCACGGGCGAGGGTGGCCCCGGACTCCTGGGGCAGCTTGGAAAGGCCAGAGTCGACTCTCGGAAGGTGTGTGATGGGCTACCACAGAGGGGCTCCCCCAGACAGAGGGTCTCGAAACTAGATGGTTTGGTTAGTTGAAGCTTAGGGAAGCTTCAGCCATTGCTGGCTGCTTTGCCGTTGGCCCGATCCTCATGATTCCCCCTCTTTGGCACACATCTGTCGGCTCTATGAAACCGCCAGCTCTCTGCGTGCCAGCCTCCCCACCCAGCTCCTCCCAGCCCTGTACCCTGCTATCCCTGTGGGCTGGCACAGACTAATGTGGGCTTAGCCTGAGTCAACCGTGATAGAGAAACTGTGAGGTGTTTCAGCTTTGAGTGTGTGCAGCTGCCCCAGGCTAAGTATGTAATCTGGGCATTATGACGAGTTCCTTGGGAATTATTTGCGGCTTTCTAAATCTTGCCTTGAAAAAAGCTTTAAATGCCTGACTTAACTCCCACTATCTCACAGATAAGGCTTTAAAATGAGCTAATGAATGGAATTAGCCTTGTTTTTTAATGTCTGGCTGCCTGAAGCTTAAGAAGTTTGATCCTCCTCTTGATTTTTTTTTCCCCAGCGAGGATTGGGCTTAAATTTCTCCCTGGCCCCATTGTACCTACTGTTTCTTTGAACACAAACTTCAAGGTAGAGAGTTTCGCTCAGTTCAGACAAGCTTGACACACCACGTCTCCCAGACTGTGCCAGCAAATAAACAAGAAGAAGACATGGGCAGAATTCTCGTCCCTACATTTGACAGCGGAGGGCCCAGAGAGGGGAAGAGGCTAAGCCACGGACATGCAGCTGTTAGTGGCAGAGTTGGGAGTTTAGTCTTGGGCTTTAAAGGTGGTTGGGCTGTTTCCATGTTGTGAAGTTTAAAAGTACACCCTAGCTTTAATCTTGGGATAATTTGTTAGCCCCTCTCCTGTGCCTATATTGTAAGGAACCGTGGAGAAGCTGATCGTCAAGTGCTGGTGACCCATTTGTGTTTGGAAGGTGGCTCTCTTCCCATTCTAGATGCTGAGACAATGAGATCACTAATTTATTAAGCACCATTTATTGTGTCCCGGGCACTTGACAAACATGTGGCAGTACCCCTTAGAGGTAGTGGTAAGCTCACTGTAGCTCAAGCTACCAGGAGGTTTTAGGTGAGTTGCTGGGTCCCATCCCTGGCATAAGTCTCCTTCTACAAAAGGTGTTTCTTCCACTGTGCTCCAGAGAAGGCCCCTGGGAGAGGGTCATTGCCAGGTCCATCCTTATAGCTTGTGGTGCCCTGTATGCCAACAGCCCAGATGTCAGCAGATGGTTCTACTAGGACACCTCAGTGCCAGTGGGTAGTAAATAGGGGAAAATCATGCTTGCTGATACTTCCTGTGCTTCATCAGTGGCAGACATCACTAATCAATTCCAGAATTTTTCCTGCTGAGTGACCTGAGTCATCCTTGGGTACCTACTCCCAGTTGTCTGGTGTTGGCATGCACAGTAAAACGGAGCTGACTCTAAGCAATGGCTATTGAATGGCTATTGAATTTGGAAAATTTGGGGCTTACTTCCTTTGGTGGCAGACTTGTCTGTGGATTCATGGAACTTATCTTTTCATCCCTTCAATAGGAAACATGTATGTCTCCTATACGCCAAAATATAAGTCAAGTGTAAGTCCTGGCTGCAGTTCTAAGGTTGCAAGCTCAAAGAACAAACAGAACACTAAATCTGAGCAATTTATTACTCAAGGTGATCAATGAAGAGAAAATTGCCATGTGGTGACGTAGGAAGAAGAGTATTTGAGGAGAGGATGGACTGTACAAGGAACCCTAAGAGTTGTAAAGGCTAATCCTTCTCTGCCATCCTTGATGGATGACTGAGTGGGCTAGGCTTAGTCACCTCTACTGATGGAAAGCTCATTACCTCTCAAGGCTGTGCCATTGTAGGGTATTCAAAATTGATGGTCTTGTGGGAGGAGGCTGTGGGCAGTGGTGGAGATTGGGAGCTCAGCCATCTGACCTTGGCATTGTATGTGCCTCACTGAATCTCAGCACCGTTGCTGAGTATAAAGTATAAAGGAATGTGGATGCTCACTTTATCTTGTGTCAACATCTACTTTCCTATAGTTTTCTGTTGATTGATTAGTGCAAGGAAGGGGAAGTGCTTCTTCCCCATGAGTGGGTCTACAGATGGAGTTCTTTTGCCCTGCCTCTCCTGTAAGGTCAAACCTAAAATCCTTAGCAGGACCCTTCTGAGCTCTCCCCAGGAGGACTGACCCTCCAACTTCATCTCTTGCTTCTCCTTGACTTGTCCTGACCTCTTGGGGACACAGAGCTCCCTCTGCTTTGGTATGTGTTATTCCCTCTGCCTAGTTCAATTCCTCCACCTTTCTTCCCTTACTGGCTCAGGCCAGGTGCCACCTCCCCCCAGGAAGCTTTCCTGACTCCCCAGGCTAGTTAGGGTCCTCCTCCTCTGCATTCCCTCAGTCACCAGATGTCCGAGTGCATGTCACCCTGTTGGGCTCTCTGGATGCAGCCCGTCCTTCTCGTTTATGCCTTCCGTCCAAGCATCCAGCATACACTTGCGTGAATGAACAGATTGTGCCACTGAATTAGAACTCCTCGAGCCCCCAGGTCCTGGGGGGCTCAGGCTAAGGGTCATGGTGGGAGCAGGCTCTCCTGCACTTCCTCTCAGGAGGAAGTGACTGGTGATCCCTTTCTAGTGGGTCTCTTCTCTAGCAAGTTCCCCAGCCCGTTTTCTATTGGGAGGTTGGGACAGCCCCTTTTCTTGATATTTGAATGTTGTTGAAGTGGTGTTTTCCTTCACACAACCCTAGCTTCCTTTCCCTAACTCATAAAGATCAGTCCCCATTTCCCTCTCCACAGTCCCTGAGTTGGTCCACTTTGGCGGGGATGACTAGAGGGAGTTCTGGCCTGCACCCCACATACCTGCCAATAGATTCCTACTCAAATCTTTCTCTCTCTGTCTTATTTTCTGTCTGTCTGAAGTGGGCCAATATATCTGTGCTAGTAGCCTCAATGTCAACTAAATAACATAAAATAAAATGTGTGAGACAGGCCTTTAAAAACAAGGTACGAACTAGTGGTTGAAGCTGTCTACCAAGGAATCGTACTACCTTGGGTAAGGTGTTTAGCCTCACTGGGCTCTTACCTCCTCACCTGTAAATACCTCCAGCCCCAGCCATCTGTGACTCGATTTCTTGGCCCACAGGAGGTGAGCACAGAGAAGACTCAGGCTGGAGCTCAGTGGATGCTCGGCGGGAAAGTGGCTCAGGGCCTTCCTCGGATACCTTCTCAGCATCTGGCCTGCCCTGGCCCCTGGGGAGCTCCCAGCTGGGCAGAATGGGCAGCAGTGCCCAGGGCCCCCGCTCTGTCTCTGTGTCGACGCTGCCTGCCTCGGACTTCCTAAACCCTGGCCTCACCGAGGGCCTCTCAGATACCTGCCTCCCCTTGCACACCAGTGGCCGACTGACCCCCCGTGCCCTGCATAACTTCATTACCCCCCCTACTACACCCCAGCTTCGACGGCACACCAAGCCGAAGCTTCCGCGGACACCGCCCCCACCCAGCCGCAAAGTCTTCCAGCTGCTTCCCAGCTTCCCCACGCTTACCCGGAGCAAGTCCCACGAGTCTCAGCTGGGAAACCGCATCGATGAGGTCTCGCCAATGAGGTAAGTGTTCCTGCCAGCAGGTGCTGAGCTTGCCACCGACTCAAAGATTTTACTATGATGTTCTCATTGTAAAGGTAATATGGCCTTAAGATAAAAAGGACAGGTAAAAGCAACCAATATAGAAATGAGCAAAGTAAAAAGTGAAAGGTATCATTCCTCAAGCCACTATTTACAATTTGGGCTGAATCCTAGATTTCTTGGTTTACACACAGATACTCAAAAGTGTAGTTGCATGTTAGATCAGTCAGCACAGAGTAGGTTATGCTGCAGTAACAACCAGCCTCTTGGTATATGCTAAAATACCATACTCTATTTATTTCAGAATTCTTTATGTATTTTTAGGAGGTGTAACAGTCACAGTCCAAAATGCCAAAACCAGTTGACTTTTGTAGGGAGATGCAGTATAAACTTAACCCCTACCCTCTCCTCAGTAACCCACTTCCTCTTTCAGGAGCCAACTACTTATCCATCCATATATATCGCTAAATATTCAAACTACCTTATCTTTAAACTGTACGGTATCATTTCAATGTCAAGTTGAAGCAGCTTTTCTCTCTTGATAGACATTCAGTCCGTAGTTATTTTTGTTATGATAAAGCTCACCTTCATCAATGTATCCCCATGGGCAGGGAAGAAAGGCATTTTATTTCTGGGTTCCCAACCTTCTTGTACCTTTGAAGCTTGGGACACCAGGCTTCTCCCAGAGTACACTGTGTAGACACATGGACAGGTGTCAGTCAGAGAGTATCTCAGTAGGATACCCAATGCATCTGCTTCTCATTTTTTCTTGAGAAGAGCATCAGAAGGGCTTTGGTCACATTCTGGCTCTGGGCTGAGAGCAAAGCCTCAGACAGACCATACCAATCCTCAGATCCCATGACTGCTGAGCTGGATTGCTCAGCTGGGATTCTGAGTTGGGTCCCCACAGAGCCTCCAGAACCAGCTCTGACATGGACACTCAGGCCACCTGGCTGGCCTCCCACTGAGGGCAAACCAGCTACTGGGTTTTCCCCCAGCTCTCTTTATCCCTAGGACGGTACCCCTCACCCTCAGGCATTGCTCAAGGCACGTTCCTGCCAGGCCCTCTTTAGGAGGCCACCTTCATGCTTTCAGACTGTTCTCCTTGTCGTCCTGCCCCACCCTCTGTGTCAGACTGACCCCTTCTCCTGACTCTGCACTCCCTCCTCCTAGGGCTTTGGACAAGCCCCTTCTCCCCCACTATAGGTCTACGACCATAGAAGACTCTGCTGTGAAGTGGAGTGAACTCTCATCACCGTGCTGGGAGGCAGGCAGGGCTGAGATAAGCTAACATGTTGAGTTGTATGTAGCTCCAGTGCCCACTAGGAGGACCCAGAGGGCACCTGTGACCCTTCCCATTGAGGATATGTCCTCTTAGAGAGTTCAGGGATCCTCACTCAGCCAGCCTGGCTTCCTACCCCCCAAGAACTTAAAGCTCCTGCCCTACCACTCACTCCCAAGAAGTCTTGATCCGGGGAACACGCAGAGGCAGCCTGGTGACATAATCCTCCTTTCTCTCTTTGTCTCCCCCAGGTTTGGTAAGAGTGATTTCTTTTCATCCCTTCTGCCACTCGGGAGTCACGTTTGTTGCTGTCCCATCAGGGGTGGACTTCTAAGACCTTCTGTTAGTCCATGCAGCCTGCCCACAGTCCAGAAGCAGAGGAGCTGGTAACCCCTCAAGAAATAGCTCCAGAACAGGTGGCCTTAAGATGACAAGGTGGTGTCATCCCAGCCAGCAGCTGCTCTTTGCAAAGCAGAGACTTCGAGAACATCAAATCTGCGGGAGCCCCCAGGGCAGACCCTGTCCCCACCTTGCCATTCCCGTAGGCACCCTCCGTGGCGAGGGCTATATTCCTGTTGGTGCACACTGTGCTCCAGGAGGGGTTGTGGGTGGACATCAGCCAGCCACAGAACCCCAGCTGACATCTCAGAACCCCTTTCTTCAGGCCAGGGGCCTCCCCAGAGGCAAGAGTACAGCTCAGCTCTGAATGAGGCCTGGAGACCTAGGAGCATGCCCCAGCCCTTTGGAGGGGGAAGGAGGAAGCCAGGGCACCTGAGAGCAGGTTCTTGGACATGGCTGTGTCGTGAGCCTTGTGTCTCATGAGTCAGAGGGAAACAGCATTGCCTCTGGAGTCTGCTTTTAATTGTCTGAGTGGAAACAGGGGATATCTGATTTTTGTCTGAACAAAATAGCGGTTTATTTCCATGCTCTCCTGAGCTGGTTTAGCAGTGCAGTGAGGTCCTGGACAAGGCCTTGAGGGTGGGGACAGGGAGAGCAGGCAGTGGTTACTGGACTGGAGCTGATTGCCAGACCACTGGGAGGCATGCGTGGGGAGGAGGGGGGTCGCACTGCCTTCTCCCCAGGGCCCACCCCAGAGCCTTGGCCAGCATCCGGCACCTGCACCCCTGCCAGAGCCTGGCCCTGTCTCCTAGTTGCTGTAGTGCTGTAGGGACCACAGCAGTGAGGCTGCTTTTCCAGGTTGTCGGGAAGGCAGGAGGAGGCGTTGGGACCCCACTCCTGTTTCATCTGGGTTAGGACCACTGGTGCTTGTCACAGGTGCCATCTCACATCCCTCCTATCCCATGCCTGTGGCAGACATTACAAATCAATCTTGTGTTCAGTGATAGATGGTTGAAGTCTCATTTCCCCATGATCTGCTATTCCCCAGATTAGTAATCCCCCTGTGGCTGTGCCCCTGGTGGCCATAGGGCTACTGACTGAGATGGGGCGGCCCGGGAAGGAGTTGGGAGGATTCAGCCCACTGGCAGATGTGGGGAGAGAACTGCAGGTGCACAGTTGTGGGTTCCCCAATCACTGGCGAGGGGGGTAAGTAGCAAAGGGCCTTTTGGTCCCCATCAAGGGAGCAGCCTGTACCTCCCCCCACCCATCTCCTGTGGTTGGGTAGTTGGTACTTGACCATAAGTGAGCACCAGCTGTGTGCCAGGTTGCTTTCAAGACCCGGGGGCACGGTGACTTGAGGGGGGATGCTGATGACCCAGAGGGCATGAGGTGGCCACAGTTGCCTTGGTCTCTGTGATCCTGACCTCTGGGTCACAGGTCCCTTTGATCATTTGATGCAAGTCTAGGCTCTCTCCAGGGAGGAGCCCACAGCATTGATTACCAATCCAGAAAGTTCCCTGAAGCCCCTCCAGGGGCATAGTTGAGAACCCTTGTTCCAGGAGGAAAGAGGCAGAGCTGAGTATGGGTGGAAGGGGTTGAGCAGGTGATAAAGGTGTGTGGGTACACAGGTGGCAGAGGAGGAGGACAAGGGTTATACCTGTGGGCTGCGGTGGGTAGGGGAGTGCTTCCCGGCTGCTCCTCCACTGCAGTGCCATGAACACTGGAGGCCTGTTCTTACGGGGGTGCCCAGGTTAGAAGAGGGAGCACCCCAGTGCCCTCTAGGAGGACAGACAGGAGAGGCATCGACAGCTCGTGGCCTGACACTTCCAAAGGCCCAGGCGTGCCGTGTGGGAATGAGGTCACACGTCACCTTGCCCTCACCCTGCCTGCCGGGATCTGACGGGGGTTCTCAGAGCAAGATTCCCAAGGTGCTGCTGGGTGGAACAGTGCTGGATGTGCTGTGTGGGTTATCAGCCTCCATGGGTCGCGCAGCTTCTGCCTGCTTACCAGAAAGCAGCCAGAATTAAGCTCTTGCACCCCGGAGACCTGTCGGTGCCTCCATGACAGGTACAGAGGTGGGGGATGTGGAAGACTCGTAGCCCGCCTCTGTTCCTTCTGCCTGGCGAGCGCACCTTCTGCTGAAGCTAGAACCGCGCAGACATGACAGACTGACCCATCCTAGAGGCCAGGCTCTGACGTTACCAGAGAAGCACGTCCCTGGTCGCCCCCCGTGTTGATGGAGGCAGGCTCAAGGCAATGTGTCTCTGCTATGCAGTGACTCAGCTCACCCATCTCGCCTGTAATCTCTGAAAGAGAAAGGCTCAGGTGTGAGCTGTCCCATGGGGGTTTCCTCAGCCTGCCCGACCTGGCCTCTTTCCCTGCAGATCCCCCGCACGGATCCCCACAGATGGTACGAAGGGACATCGGGCTGTCGGTGACACACAGGTGGGTCCCTCAGGGCTGGGGGTTGATGGCACAGCTGGAACACTCACAAGAGCCCCCATTCTGTCCCATGTGGTTTTATTTTAATTTCGGTTGAGTTTGGAGTAAAAAATGCATTCATACATTCAAAATTCAAGAAGTATAAATAGAGAAAAATCCCCTTGCATGCTGTTCCCAGCTCCCCCCGGGCCCCACAAGCAGATCTTGTGTGTCTTGTGTGTCCTTGTAGAGATATTTTTATGCAAGCAAATACATATGTATGTTCTTCTGCCTCCTTTTTTATTTTCACACAAATACTGCATATATTATACACACTGTTTTATGCTTTGCTTTTATTTTATGTGAGCTTCAGTTTAGATCGTGCTTAGCACACAAACAACTTGACATTTGTTAAAAATAACTTTTGACACAGGTTGACATGCATTGCACCCCTACATACCAGCTAGGCGGTGAGTCTGAGTGTCCCACCCCACCCCCAGTGGATGGTGTGGCCTCCCAGAGATGACTGTTCACGTCTGTGAAAATGCTAGATTCATTTTTCCTGTAATCCATTTAAATGGGCTCACACAGTGTTATGCCTTACTTTCTCCCCTTGACATTGTAATTTGGAGATCCCTCTGTATTTACACAAAAAATGCTTCCTTATTTTATTTTCTGGCAGCCCGGTGTTCATTTGTAAACCTAGACGTACCTTCGTGAGTTTAGTCTCCTAAATGGCATTGGTGTCTCTAGCCTTTCACTGCTACAGGCCTTCAGGGGGTAACCTTATCAGCATGTCATTTAGCACCCATGGGAGTATCTGTTGGATAAATTCTTTTTTTGAAAAAAAGATTTATTTATGCATATAAGAACTGGGGTGTTGGCCAGAGGTGGGGGGTGGGGTTGAAACAGAGACAGAGTGGGGGGGGAGAACAAGCAGACCTACTGAAATATGACTGCTGAAGGGAGCTGCAGACAAGACAAGAGAGGTCTGCTGCACCAGGTGGGTCAGCTCCCTGGCTGGGGCTTGAACTCGTGCTGCAGTGGCTACAGATCGCTCCTATGGTGCTGAGACTTTAACCTGCGCCCTGTTGAATAAATTCTTAAGGCTAAAACTGCTGCATCATAGGTTAGACACCCTTGCCCTTGCGATTGCCAGGGGGCAGGTGAGCGGCCACATGATGTGGGGTTTTGACAAGATGGCTTTGTGGCGGGGAAGTTTGAATGTCAGGGTGAGAGTCTGGAGTGAAGCCACGGGAGAGGCTGCCAGAGCCCTGGGCCACTGCGTTCCCTAGGGCCATGCGGGGACTCTTTTCTGACCGTGCCCTGGCCTCCTGGCCCACATGAGCTCTTTCCCGTGCCCCCTGCAGGTTCTCCACCAAGTCCTGGCTGTCTCAGGTCTGCCATGTGTGCCAGAAGAGCATGATGTTTGGAGTGAAGTGCAAGCATTGCAGGTGATGGGCGCTGCGTGGGAGGCGGGGCAGGGTGTGTCTTCACTTTGACTTTAGGAGCAGGCCTGCTACCTGATTCTTGACCTAAGTTCCAGTCAGAGTTGAAAGGAGTGCCCCAAGCCTCCTGTTAACTCCATTCAGCCCATCAGGGAGTCATTAGCCCTCTCCAGGGAGAGGAAGAGACCATCAGGCAAGGCACGCCCAGAAGAAGGGAATATTTGAAGTGGGCTTTGAAGTCTGAATAGATTTTGCTAGATAGTCCAAAGGAGAGAGAATTTCAGACCAGGGGCGCATCCTGTACAAAGGCAAAGAATGGCAGGACCTGTTGTACACTGTAAGGACTTCTGAGGTTCAGCCCTACATTTTAGCACACATGGGCAGGATGCAGGGGCAGTCAGTGGTAAACACAGGTAGCTCAAAGTATTGACAGAGGGACAAGGTAGATTCTGTAAATGGACAGTTTTACGTTTTTCCAACTATGATGGTTTCTCGTTGGGAAGAAGGACAAGTGTGGGGTAAGCAGACCCTGGCCCCTGCTCTCTGCCTTCCCCTAATGGAGGGTGGACCTGGGGTCTATGCTGCTTGTTAACTTTGCCCCAGCATTGCTGTGTGACCTGGGGCAAGCGCTTGCCCTTTCTGGGCCCCACTTTTGTTAATTTAGACATCAGGGGAGAAGATTCCAGGTCTTTATCCATCATGATTTCTTTAAGAGTGAGTCAAAGCCCGTAGGCCCCAGCCAGTTTAGATGAAGGCTCTTGTTGGTTGAGTATATTGCATTTTCCTGATGCCTCTCCTGACCAGGAAGGAGATGCCCAAGCTTTCTCACCAGTCTGGTTATGCTGGCTCCATTTACTTATAAATTGAGGGCCTCCAGCTTCCCTTCAGGCAGTGCCTTTCATGCAGAGAGCACAGGACAACCTGGGAGCCCGAGCTCCCCTGGGCTTGCAGTGTGAGCTTGGCAAGGCCCCACTGTCACAAGGTTTGCTTGATGAGAATCAGGACAGTAGAGCAGACAGGACCAACATCCAGCTCTTTCCACTCCTGCCATGCCCAGTCCCTGGGTACTGCCTCTCGCACCCCGGGGGGCCTTTCTCCAAATTCATCTTTCTTTGTAAGTTCAGATTTATGTTGGGCTTTCTGGACATGGTGGAGAGCCATCTTTTCTGCAGAGGAGAGTGAGCTAGCGACCCGCATGTGATACGTTGAGATGGTGTGGAACTGCTGACCTGCGCTCACTAGGCAGACAACAGGCGCCTCTGCTGAGTGGGCAGGCGCTGCTCGTACTGTTAACGTGCGGGTGTTCCACACCGTGGTGCCACCGCCTGTTGGGACAGCTTGGGAAACCGAGGCTGTTAAAGTGGGGTGGCCGGCACAGAGTTGCGAGGCCAGGCCCAGGAGACCCCCGTGGCCCTCTGTTCCCTGACCCCGCTTCTTCCCCAGGTTGAAATGCCATAACAAGTGCACAAAAGAAGCTCCCGCCTGCAGAATATCCTTCCTGCCACGTGAGTCTTCTGCCCCCTCCCGCCACGGCCTCCTGGCTTTGGGGTGGACGTTCTTTTCACTAGAGCTGTTCCCTGCTCATGGGTCTCCCCTCTTTTCAAGCAGTACCTAGACTTCGGAGGACAGAATCCGTCCCTTCAGACATCAACAATCCAGTGGACAGAGCAGCCGAACCCCATTTTGGAACCCTCCCCAAAGCACTGACAAAGAAGGTACAGTGTGTGACAGCCCAGTGGGCTGCTGCCCCAAGAGCCCCCCCTTGTTTCTGTGACCCTCAGGAGTTCCTTACCCTCTCGGAGCCTCAGTCTTCTAGTTCATAAAGCAGGGATACTGATGCTCCGTTCACAGGGTGTTGTGAGGGAGACCCGATAATGTTCATGACCTTGCTTGGCGGGAGCCTGTCGTCCTGTTAGCCAGGACTTGCCTTCCAGCCTGCCCCAGGTCAGCAGGCTCCTGGCTGGGTCACCAAGCCCCAGTGCCCCAGCCACACCTGCTCAGTGTTCCTGCACCTGCCCTATGCCAAGCATACCCTGTCCACGCACCTTTCCCGCACCCCTCGCTCACTCCGCTCCCTCACTGTGTACACGTACCCACATGTGCTCTGAGCCTCTGCTTCTGTATTTCTCCACCTGGACACCCAGTCCTTACCCTCGTGTCAGGTCCTCAAGGCCCACGCAGACTCCCCCTCCTGCATGCACCTCGTTGGCCCGCCAGCCACCCTCTTCTGAGGGTGCCTGCCTCTCGTGTTGCCGAGGGCAGTGATGGGCATCATCCTTCCAGTATCCTGTCTGTGGTCTTTTCTAGAACATGACTAGCTGTTAATATGTGCTCCTAGGTGCCAGGCATTGTGCTGTGCGTGCGTGTGTGTGCGTTCACCCGTGGGCACCACCTCTCACAAGGCTCACCTGTCTCCCGGCCCGCTCTTGCTTTCCTTGTTCAGATGGGCTCCGCCCAGTCCTGCTTCAGGGCTTTTGTGCCCACTCTTCCACCCTCCCTCGGTCAGAAGCGCTCTTCCCACCTCCGCCGGGAGCCTCACCTGGACCCACCTACGGGCATCTCTCGCTGCCCTGCCCTGCCCTGCCCAGCTCATGTCATGCTGAGCACGCACATCCGCTTTCTGGCTGCCTGATGGGGTGGAGACAGCATGGGAGGCATGCTGTCTGCCCCTCTGGCCAGTGCCTGGCACACCGTACGTGGCCAGGTAGCCTTTGTCCTGAAGCACGGAGCCACTGGGCCCCTCGGCGAGGCTGCAGCTGCACCTGTGTTGTAGACAGTACAGTGTGGCTCAGAAAGGCACCGTCACTCCGGCGCAGGTTGGGGAGCATGGACTAAACCTACCCCGTAGCCACTCCCTGCCCGCTGGCCTGGCCCTGCCCTCAAGAACTGGGTGGGGAAACTAGAGGGAGTGGCAGCAGGAGCCAGCTGCCTCCTGCGCCTTCAGTGTGACGCCAGGGGTATTGCCACTCCTGGCCTGTGAGCCACTGCGTCAGTGTTGTGGGTTCCAGAGTCCACCGTGCACCCCAGAGTCCTTAGGGCCTGCCAGGAGAAATCTATCGGACTTTGCACTTAAGACAAGTCAGCCCCAATTTTTAACAAGGAAACCTCCCCACACGCTGAAGAATTGGTGTTTTGAGTGTGAGAAGCATTGATCAGCTCTGGGGCCCACCCCAGTATAGACTCAGCGCCGTCCACCCACCTCCCGTCCTCTCTCAGGTACTCCTTTGGCCTTGTTCGGGCCCAAACCACTGAGTGGACCGGGCCAGTCCACTGCAGAAGAGGGGCAGGAATGCTGGCCAGGTACCTGTGAACCATAGGCTACAAAAGCACTTGCAGAAACTGATGTGTTCATGACAGGACCCTACCGTGCGCTGGGCCTAGAGGAGCTGGCCCCAGGGGAGAGAGGGGGGTTTGACAGCGAGGGAGCTCCCTGCCCTCACAGGACATGGGTGCTGGGGGAGATCGTAAAAGCACCTCTATGCCTGTACTTGCCCAGCCATCATTCAGGTGCCCAGAGATATGCTAGGCGTTATTGGGGGATAAAGAGGAGGAGTGTGGGCCCAGCTGGGGCTGAGGCAGGATTCCGGGAGGAAAGTCTGGTGTGTAGGAGTCCTCTAGGGGCGGGCCATCGGGGTGAGGGACTCTGTGCCACCCCTCCCTCAAATATGAGATGGGCGACACGGGCTGACTTTGTCTTAGAAGGGGGAGGGGCCCCAGCCAGGGCTTGGCCTGGCCCTGCCCACGTCTGGTCTCTGGCCTGCAGGAGCACCCTCCAGCCATGAACCACCTGGACTCCAGCAGCAACCCGTCCTCCACCACATCCTCCACGCCCTCCTCGCCCGCGCCCTTCCCTGCATCGTCCAACCCTCCCAGCGCCACCACGCCCCCCAACCCCTCACCCGGCCAGAGGGACAGCAAGTTCAACTTCCCAGGTACCACACCTTTGGACTTTTTCTTAAACTCAGGCTTCACTACACACCCCAGGGGGCTCAAGGTCAAACACCGCTGCCACCCAGAGCACTTGCTGGGAGGCAGATGCCGTGCTGAGCTCAGGGGAACGTTACCCCAGTCACACCTGGGGTCAGCTCCGAGGAGATGGTCACTGCCCCCCTTCTACAGACGCTGGCAGACTCAGGAAGAAGTGGCTGGCTCCCCTGCACATCCTGTGAGCAGCAGAGCGCGGGGCAAAGCCGAGTCTGCCTGACCCGAAGCCTGGGTCCTTGACATCACCCCGGGCTGCCCACAGGGCTCAGTGGCTTCTTCTAGGCTGACTTCTGAGCAGGCCTGGCCGGCAGCTCGGAGCTGGCAGGTCCGGGAGGCCTGGGAGAGGGAACCAGGTTCAGGCTCTGACGCTTACCTGTGATCTCGGCAAGCTACTTAAATAAGGGTAGCTTTGTTCTCCTTGCCATCAATCAGCAAGAGCCCACGTGAAGGAATTACATTCTCCCCACTGGGGAGTGTTGCTGGAGCAGGCGTGAACCCGAGCTCACCGCTGATGTCACCATAGCTCCAGCTGCCCTGGGGCCTGCAGGGCCACCCCGCCTCTTGGCCAAGCCTGGGGCGTCTACCTCTCCAAGGAACAGAGGGGGGCCATCTGGGTTTATTAGCTGGCAGCCCAGAGGGAGGCGTGGCTGGGATGCCCCAGTTTGCTCCAGGCCCAGGCCTGCTGCCAGCTCTGGCCCATGCAGTCCAGCTCAGTCCCCTCCTGTTGTGGGCTCCAGATCTGGAGAACAGAGGAACAGTTCTCCCTCTGCCAGGGAACCCCTACTCTCACCAGAGTTCCAGGAACCTCTTTTCAGGGTGCTCAGAGACAGATTTTGTAGCAATCCTTTTTCTCTTTTGCCGTCCCTTTGCCCTAACACACGCCCGGCTGGAGCGCTCCTGACACTGATGCACATCTGAGCACACCCCTCTGCTCCCTCCCTGCCGCTGGGCGATGGCCTGTTTGATTAACCTCCTCTCCTGTCCTGCTGTCCTTACGATGCCCTGAAACTGGACCTTTTGTCCAACCTCCCAAGTTTAAGTTTTTCTGAAAGGAAGAGCCTGTTTGAAAAACAACAGCCAGAGAAAAAGTCCCTTCTGTGCTGTCAGCAGAGCTTCTTGGCCTTCCCTGGCGTCCCCAGCCGGGCCTCCTTGTCCCCTGCGCGAGCCCTCCCTCTCCCCAGGATCTGTTATCTCTAGCCTCAGAGGTGCCCTGGCAGGCCTGGCACCAATCCGGGGGACCTCTCCCCACGTGAACTCTGTACCGCGCAGCCACACTTGAGTTTACCATTGAGGATAAGCCTGGGGAAAGGTTATTTGTTCCCCATTTTACAGTATGAGAGATTAGCCAACTCTCGGTCCCAGAGCCTTGGAAGTGGCAGAGCTGGGGTTAGAGTTCAGGTACCTAGTGTGTCCCCTTCTGTACCCCTAAGGGAGAGGTGGGTTTTGTGGATGGTGAGGTCAAGTCACTGAAGCCTCAGCGCCTCTGCGGGTGCACGTGGGGCCAGGGGGAAGCTCATGCTCTGCACACAGCACATGCTGCTGGCTCACTGTGTTTCTCTGCCCTGAATGTTGCTCTCCTGGGCTCGTGCACATTTCACAGTAGAGAAGTGGGAGTGGGAGGTGGGCAGCATGGTCCAGGGCTCTGTGGCGGAGTAGCCATGGGGACTGGGCCGCAGCCAGCGCCCATGTCCCCCAGCTCTTTCCTGTGTCCTCCTCCCTCGCTGGGTTTGCTGTTGCGTGTGTGTGACTCACCGCCTCTTCTGTTTAAAGCTACCTACTTCATTCATCACAGACAGCAGTTTATCTTTCCAGGTGAGTGCTTTGCATGGTTCCACTAACCTCCCCCTGCCATGTAGCCCACCTGGGCGCCCTCGTCCTGAGCACCCTGGAGCTATTTGAGAATCACACCCACCTACTTAGAGAGCAGCTGGGAGTGGGAGGGAAGGATGAGTAGGCTTGAGTGCCTCTCAGGGGCAGTGTCTTGTTTAACAGAGGCAAGAAGTATACTTAAGTTGGTGTCCAGCCTCTTGCACAGAGATGGCAGGCAGTTTGTTGAGTCACACAGCAATAAGGTAGCTGAAATCTGGTTTGCAGAATATGGGGAGAGAATTTTTGGCTGATGTTTTACTGTCACAGTATCATCCCCTGCATAATGACAAGGAGACTTTTACTAGGTCATCTTACACAATGGGAAGCCGCTTTGGGACCATCTTCTGGCTTCGGTTAGTGGGCTGCTCCTTTCTAAGCTTAATGTGCAGCGCCATCTGCTGGCTGTTATTGGAAATGCCGCCTACGTATACAAAGTTTAAAGGAAAAAACTTTCAACCCAGTAAGACAGTTTCTTCCATTCCCTTCCATAAAAATTGTTTTGCACACCTACTATGTGCCCACCTTTGCTTTTGCCCATATTCCTGCTCATAAGGAGTTTATAAGGTTAGTTACTTCTCTAGCCGTAGGTGACAAACAGTATAAATAATCCACAACTTTCAATTCTTGATTTCGCCTTATGAAGAACACTGATGTTGATTCTCTTTTTCCTGGGCTAAGAACACTGATGTTGATTCTCTTTTTCCTGGGCTAAGCAGGCTTATCTTGAAGTTGTGGTGCTTTGGTTATTCCAGGCTTTTCTAGTCCCTAGACCCACTAGGGGAGTGGCTGAGAGCACTGATGAACCCTGACAGGCTTTGTCCAGGAAAGGGGGAGGGAAATATATATTTAAAACAAACATGGACACATTTTAGAGCAGAATGCAAATTACACTCAATGATTGAGGCCAAGAACGTAGCTCCAGAGTCATTGTGCTCTCTCACCTGAGGTCCTATTTTTTCTGGCTCCCCTACTTCCCACCCCCATGTATGTGTTTCCCTTCTGTGGAAACCTGGGGCAGTGTTGGGTGAGTAAAACACCAGGCAGCCCCTGGAAGCGTGTGCTGGGAAGGCCTCAGCTGGGCAGGCAGTGCCTACCCTCTGCAGAGATGGCACACAGGGTGCACGTGTGCCTTTCCCTGACGCGAAGCCCACAGTTCCTCAGCGTCTCCGAGTCTGTGAGGTCCGAGATGTGGCAGCTCTCGGTTCAGGTGACTTCAGTGCCATCATGGAGAACACCCCGAGGCAGGGTGCCGGGGGCTGAGTGGGGCAGGCTTTGTCCTGGGAGGATAGCTTTAGCCACTGCCACCTGCAGTCTCTCTCTCCTTTTGCTGAAACAGGAGAGAGAGTGTGGCGCTGGCAACCTCCCTGAGTTCAATGAGAAGGGGTGCAGGGGTCAGAAAGAGCCCAGCAGCAGAAGCAGCTTTGGAGGGCCTCCCCTGTCACATGTGGGTTCCACGCTGGAGCGACTGTCAGTCTGGGGTCCCCAGATGTGGGACTTCCGGTGCTCAACCTGGGAAAACCTCATGCTCCCCAGGGTCAGCCCCAGATGCTCTGGTGTGCAGACTGTGAATTTCTTCCTCTGCACTGAGGTCTCCACCACTGACCCAAACCCAAAAGCGTGGGGGCAGGGCCCTGGCCGCTTCCAGAATCCCCGGCAGCTGAGCCGGGCGCCTGGCAGCCCCTGTCTGCAGCCTGCGGGCCTGAGTGCAGGAGTCTGCACCTACTCCACCTGCGAACCGTGGTGTCCCTTGTCCGGTGACCATTAGCCCAGTTTGCTTGCTGGTGTTGGAGCAGTTTGCCCACAGAGGGATGGTGTTAACTGAGAAGCCCCTTTGGGGACGAGCCCAACCAAATGCTGGACCGGCCACGACGGCACTGAGTTTAGGGAGAGTGCACGCTGGCCCCAGTGGAGGAGGCCTGGAGAGAGGACACACGTGCAGTCCTGGGAGGACTATGGGGCCGGGGGGGGGGGCGTGGAGGGCGCTTCCTGCGTGGCTGGGTTTGCGAGCTCTGCGTCCGTCCGTGAGGGAGTGTGAAGCTGGCCTCACCCTTTGCATCTTGCCTTTTATTCCCGCCAGACATTTCGGCATTTCAGCAGGCAGCCCCCGATGCGGCAGACAGTACCCGGTAAGCATCACAGTGCCGTGTCCCCCTCCTCCGTGGGTACCCTGAAAGCTGGGCACGTAGGCCTGAGCACCCACCATGCCACCTTTGCGTTTCCGGCTCCCATCTCTGGACTCCGCCATGTGTTTGGGGAGCCAGCTGGGAACGTCATGAACTAATTCACCCGCTGGCCCAGCCAGAGGGTGTATTTGCCTCCTGCCAGTGCAGCCGCATTGGGTGGGCCTGCATGTGAACCCAGAGGGAGCTTGTGCCCCAGGGTGGGCGGGCAAATGGCATTCAGAGTTATAGACTGTCTTAAAATCAGCTCCTGCCCAAGGAGCTCTTTCTCTGAGGAGACCCTGCTCGGTGCTGTGCTCCCATCCTCAGGCCAATGAGGGAGCTGTCATCCTCAGTGTCCAGAGAACACAGTGGCCCAGAAAGGCTAAGACATTACCTAAGGTCACACAGCTAGAAGTGACATAGCCAGTTCTCAAACATGAGGCCCTGGGGTTCCGAGTACTGTGTGTGGGCACAGAACCCCATACTGGCATCGGCTATGAAGGGCCTTGGTGGTTACTGCCCACTCCTCTCCTGCCCACTCAGGATGGCCTGGAGAAGGCCAAGGGCAGCAGAGGGCAGTGGCAGGCCTGGCCCTGCTGTTTCTGCAGCATCCCAGCTGCCTTTCTCACAGCCAGGCAGGTCAGAGTAAGGCTCCAGGCGTGTGGCCCATCCTCAGCGTCTCCTTGACAAACTGTTTACTCTTAGGCTTGATGACCAGACACAAGCAGACGTGTTGGAGGATCATGAAGTGGAGGTGAGTGTTCAAAAAAGAAGCAATGAGCCATGCCTGGTGCCTGCCTTTTGTCCATCTCCTGCCTTCATAAACCACGTTGGGGTCTGGGGTGTTTGTGAGCCCTGGGCCCTGGCTCCCAGTGCCTGCTGCAGCAGGTGAGCCAGGCAGGGAAGAACAGTGAGGATGAAAGCTGGGCCACACGCATGTGTTGTGGCTGAGAACACGGAGGCGCCATGGCACTAAGTGACCGCAAGCCAGGGCAGAGCTGGGACGTGGCCTCCTGACTCTGTGCCTTTCTCCTCCCTTGTCTGCTTGAAGGCCAGGGGAGGGAAGAAAAGTTGGCTGAGCCCAGATCCCTGCTCTTCTCCACTCCTTCCCCCTGTCCTTCCAGGCCGAGGAGCCGGAGGCTGGCAAGTCGGAGGTAGAAGACGACGAGGACGAGGTTGACGACTTGCCGAGCTCCCGCCGGCCCTGGCGGGGTCCCATCTCCCGCAAGGCCAGCCAGACCAGCGTGTACCTGCAGGAGTGGGACATCCCCTTTGAGCAGGTGGAGCTGGGCGAGCCCATCGGGCAGGGCCGCTGGGGTCGCGTGCACCGTGGCCGCTGGCATGGTGAGGTGGCCATCCGCCTGCTGGAGATGGACGGCCACAACCAGGACCACCTGAAGCTGTTCAAGAAAGAGGTGATGAACTACCGGCAGACACGGCACGAGAACGTGGTGCTCTTCATGGGCGCCTGCATGAACCCCCCCCACCTGGCCATCATCACCAGGTGAGCTGGGCCCCGGCCCTCGTCGGGGCGGGGGGTGCTACCTCTGTCTGTGGTGTGGGCCCCCTGGAGGCACTGCCCGTTTTAATGTAGAGAGGCAGAAAGAAGACAACCGTTTCCCCCTCACGTAGCACCTTGAGATTGAAAAAATCAGTGAGACCTCTGTGGGGAAATGCAAGTGTTGTAGAAAAGGAGAGAGTAAAACCAGTGTTCTTCCCTCAGCCGGGCTGGCGCCCATCCCAAAAGGTGGCTACCAGAAATGGTGCCTTATCATTCCTCGCATTAGAATAAAGATGTTTCCATGTGCTGGCATTCTAAAATATGTATCCCTTTGCATCACCGTGGGCTCCAGGGAGCATCCAAGGTCTGCGGGGTTCCCAGCAAAGGGACCCTTAGTGGCCGACAAGGGCTTGACAACCCGCTCTAGGGTCCCGTGGCAGTGCCCTTCAGTTCCTGTGGTGCAAATGCTCACTCACAACTGACTTGAGGCTGTCAGCGTGGCCTCCCTGGAAGTGGGGGGGTGTCAGGAAAGCCTCACACCCTGCGCCCTGGGTTCCCTCTTCAGCCAGCCCCTGGCTTCCCCTTAATTTAACCCACGCTGTCCCAGTGAACGTGAGCTTCTGTCAGGGGGTGTGTGTGACATTCAGGGACGCGTGGTCGTTTTGGCCCCAATGTATTGGGTTTTCTCTCCCTGCTCCGTGTGCTAGCGTCAACTCACCCAGAAACCTGGGGGGTGTGAAACCGCAACGCTGTCATCCACGAGATGGAAAAGCTCTTGGGCATTTGCTTTTGAAATCAAAAAGTACAGTGTGAGGTAACTGAGGAAAGGTAGGGGTTGACATAGAAGGGTCAAGAAGAAAGTAATGACCTCCTCGGTGCCATTAGCCAAGAGCCCCTGTTGGTGTTCTGATGATGTTCCCTATCACCAGAACTTGTACTTTGAAAAACCTTTCTTTTCAGACGGAGTTTACTAAGTAAAAATTAACCTCCGTTTTCTCCCTTTGTGAGAGAGAACCACCCACCAGGTCCCCAGGTTGCCACACCAAGGGGACAGGCTTGCGGCCACAGCCCAGCCTTCTGAAGCTTCAGGGAGAGTTGCTGTGGGTGCTTCAGCTGGACCTCTGGGACCCCGGCCCCAAACTCTGTCCCCCCGCCGCCCTGTCTCCTCTCACCCACCCAGACCTTCCATAAGAGGTTTGGGTCTTTTCAAAGGAGATACAAAAAGTAGCAAACATTCACAAAACAGAGATTTAACATGTTTTACAATATACTGAGGAAACTGGGGCATGGTGAGGGAACCCAGAAGCCCATATTCCAGACCCTGGCCCAGTCTCGAAGTCCCTAAGGCGCCAGGAATCTTACCTCCTAGGAGACAAAGAACCAGCTCCCCACCCCCTGGCCCCCCCACACCGCCCCTCAGAATTTAAGTCCCCGCCTCCCTGAATTAGGAATGGGTCAACATTCTCTCTCTCCTGTCTTCACGCTGGTGTCAGGAGCCAGTGCAGTTTGAGGCTCCAAACCTCACGCTCCTTAAACAGTCTCCCTCCAACACCCTTGACGACCTCCCCTGCCCTTCTGCCTCCTTGTACAGTCCTCCACTGTCACAAGGTCCTGTGATCAGGAGTGATCACGAGGAGCTCTGGAGCCTCGAAGTTGCCTGACCATACCAAGTTCCTCCTGCCAGAGTGAGTGGGCCTAGTCCTGCCTTGTCCCACTGAAGGCGGGTAGCCCCAAGTTGCCCGAACTCTTTTCCAGGGAGGGCAGGCCTGGGCCTCGGGGGACAGCATGTGTGCACTTAGGGCCTGCGCTCGAAGGAATGAGACCTGGGCTTGGTAGCAACTAGGGTTCTGGGGCCCCTGTGATCCAGGGGATGGAGACAGCCCTTCAGAGGCTGATGGGACAGAACCTCTCTAGCTCCACAAGGGCAGGCGTGGGCTGCACTGGCCCCAGACCCCTGCCTGATCCCACCACTCTCCACAGCTTCTGCAAGGGGCGGACGTTGCACTCGTTCGTGAGGGACCCCAAGATATCTCTGGACATCAACAAGACCAGGCAGATCGCTCAGGAGATCATCAAGGTGAAGTGGTGATCTTGCTCTGTCAGCCTGTGTCGGGGTGGTGTGACTGCTCTGTCTCTGCCTCTAGCCAGGGCACCCCAGGGTCTCTTTTTTTTTGCCCTCTGTCCTGTCTTGTCCACTGGGAGCTGAACACTGAGCCAGTGTGAATGAAATGAGTGAGGCCCGTGGCAAGGCTTAAAGCCACAGGTGGAGTTTGAATCCTGGTACACTGCCATCGTTGGGCAGATCATTGGGAGGGCTTCCTCTCCTGTAAAATGGGGTAACAGCTTAATCACCCTACTTGGACAGGTGCAGGAGAAAATGCTGGGGCCTGGGGCAGGTTTGGGCCTGTGGGTGTTAGGTGAGAGGCTGTTAGAACTGATGGGGAGTAGGGATGAAAGGGACTCCCCTCCTGGGGCATGAAGGCAGCCTTTCTTTCTTTTAAAGATTTATTTATTCACGCATACAAGAACTGGGGTATAGGCCAGAAGTGCTGGGGGTGAGAGGATTCACCAGAAACAGAGTGGGAAGCAGAAATACACTGCTGAGGGGAGCAGCGGGCGGGTCGGGAGAGGTCTGCCGGGCCATGTGGTCACCTCCGGGGCTGGGGATGGGACTCGTGCTGCAGTGGCTGCAGATGGCTTCTTGATGGAGCTGAGACGTAGCCCTCTGCGCCACCAGGGAGGGCCGTGCGAGCACCGTTCTGCCTTCAGTTTCCCAGGCTGAGTTTCTCTAGATCAGACTCAGGCAGTCGTTTTCCTCTCCCCTTTCCTAAAGTAATTAAATAGGAGTTTGCTGGGTGCGTTCAGCGCGCCACAGACGGGCCAAACAAAAAGCCAGAATGCTGCCGGCCAGGCTGCTGCTTTTCTCATTTTTTGTGTCTGTTGAAAAACTTTCTCTTGCCGCCACCCACCAAGTCTTCACCCCTTTTTCGTTGTTCTCCTTCCTCGTCTCCCACATCCTGTCCTTTTTTGTGTTCCCCTTCCCTCCTTTGTCCATTTTGTGGTGTTTTTAGGAAGCAGATAAAAACCTCAGTGACAAACCAAGACTTCACGTGTCTCTTCCATCTAGCTAAGCTAAGGCGCTGAACACGAGGCCCCCGGCAGTCAGCATTCAGTTCGGAGAAGGCAGAGGGGCGTCGGGGCACCTACTTCATGTCTCCCCCAAACTTAATGGCCCTGGTCCCCTTGGTCTCTTCCTCCACACTGTTTTCTCTCCTTATTATTAGAGCCTGGGGCGCTGGTAGGAGCGCAGTGTCTGGCTGGTAACTGGCTGCGTCGTGAGCAAGGAGCTTTTCAGGGCTGTGGAGTTGAAAGCTACCTCGTGCTGACCTGTTTGGTTTCTTCCTGCTGAAAAACTGCCCCCTCCCCTGCCTTTGTCCGCTGGGGATCATGACAGGCCTGATCTTTGACTAGAGGAATTTTGAGGGTGACACTGGAAACACTGAGACCCTAGGGCGGGAGAAGGGTTTGTGTTCCAGATCTGGGTGCTTTCCGTTTTGCCTCTTAAACTGGCCTTGGAGGCCATGGCACCTGTGTTTTTTTTGTTGTTGTTTTGTTTTTGTTTTTAGATTTATTTATTTATTCATACAGAACTGGGGTACAGGCCAGAGATGCAGAGGGTGAGACAGAGTGGGGAGCAGAACAGGCAGATCGACGAAGTACACTGCTGAGGGGAGCAGTGGGCGGGTCAGGAGAGGTCTGCCACGCCATGTGGTCACCTCTGGGGCAGGCGGGAATTGAACTCATGCGGAAGTGGCTTAAGCTTCTTAGTGCTGTGCTTTAACCCGCTGCGCCACCAGGGAGGGCCACGGCACCTGTTTTAAAAATGAGAGGCACAATGACTTCTCTGTCGCTGAGCCGTCGACACCTTTGTGATCCAAGATGTAGTCTTAGGCACCGTTGGCTCCTGAGATGGAACTCAGACCCCAGATTTCAGCCTTGGTCCAGGATTCCTGTCGCTGAGCAAAGGCTTTGCCCACTGCATGTGGGCAAAATAATCCAAAACTATGCACAGACTTTGAGGGGGGATAAAGAGCTTCTTGTGAGTCTACAGAGACGGAAGGGAGGTCATATCGGTCACTGATGTGGGGCTAAGCTTGTTTTTATGGGAGCAGAAGAAGAAAGTAAAAAGAAACTTGAGTGAGGAAGTTATGGGCTTGGTAGAGTTTGACTGGTTAGATAGAACTTGACGGGTGTATGGCGGGGTAGGGGCAGGGTTTCCAAATAATTTTGTTTCCACATTCTGGCTGTCTGACTTGCAGCTGACTAGCAGTTACTCCTGCGAGGTTGCAAGGTTGTGGGTTTCTGGCCTCCTTATCGAGCATCACCTTGCTGCCTCCCACTGCCAGCATTTGGCCCAGGCAGCAGCAGCCTCCCAGCTTCCAAGCTGAGACGCGAGACTCCACCCCCATCATGCCTGTCTTCTAAGATGCAAGCTCGCCCCCCCTCCACTCTGCCCCTTGAGCCAGCAAGGCCCACCAGCAGCCAGATCCTGGGGTGCCAAGTAGGGGTGGGTTTAGGGCTAAGCTGGGGGCTGACTCCATGAAAACAAGCATTCTAAGGGGAGTTAGACACGTTTTGTGCGATTTCAGAGTCTAAGAGTAAACTGATCTCGGTTTCACGCTGCTACATAGATATTGGGACCACTCGAGGCCTGTCTTGCAAATGCCTGATAGAGATCCCAGCTCCTCTGTGGGATCACCTCAGTTTCTGTACTCCCTGCCCTTCATCTCTGCATACATCCTCCTTCTCCAAACATCAAGTGGATGTGAAGCAGGACATCCTGCTGACCTGGGGTCAGATCATTGCTGACCTTAAATGCATGTGACCTGGGGCAAGTGACTTCCCTCTCTGTGGCTTGGTTTCCAGTAGGCTGAAGACCATGGTGTATAGCCCAGGAGAGTGAAAACTGAATCAGGGGGTCTGGGTGGGCATCCCGCTGAGCACCTTGGTAGAAGTTAATCATCGTCATTCATTTCCTTCCCCTGCTGTGGTGCTGGTGTCCTGAGACCAACTTCCCAGGCAGGTGTGTGGGGAGTCCTCTTCACACCAATAGGCAATTCTCAGGCCCCCACAGGATAGCTGAGATTTCAACTCCATTCTGCTCCCTGGAGAGAGCATCAGACCACTCAGGTTCAGGGTTCCATCTCAGTTCGCCCCCAATTCAGACACTGGTTATAAGACCCAGGCAGATACCTGTGCTTGCAATCCAGAGTGGAGGTTCCCATAATCTTCTCAGACTGCAGCCTGGATGATTATTTGTGCTTGCTTCAGACTAACTGGCAAGAATCGGAGATTTTCAGGACAATGGACACACAGAACTCAGGAAACCCCTTTGCTCACTAGATCACTAACTTGCTATGAAGGATACTAAAGGAAATAAATTATCAGCCGGGGCCTCCCTGGTGGTGCAGCGGGTTAAAGCACTGCACTAAGAAGCTAAAGCCACTTCCACATGAGTTCGATTCCCGCCTGCCCCGGAGGTGACCACATAGCGTGGCAGACCTCTCCTGACCCGCCCACTGCTCCCCTCAGCAGTGTACTTCGTCGATCTGCCTGTTCTGCTCCCCACTCTGTCTCTGGTGAAGCCTCTTGCCACCCCTGAGCCTCTGGCCTGTACCCCAGTTCTGTATGCATAAATAAATAAATCTTTAAAAAAATAAAATAAAAGGGTGAAAGGAAGCAGAGGTTCTTGGAACAAAGGAGGTTCTGTCCTTACTGAGCTTGGGGTTTGGCAAGGTGGCATGTGGAAACACACTGGCCCCCACTGGGGGCACAGACTCTCCTGTGGGGTGTTTCTGGAGACTTCGTCACATAGGCATGATGGATTAACTTCTTGGCCACTGGTTATTGAACTCATTCTCGGAAGTGAGACTGACGGTTTCCATTGCTGGTTTCCCTAACAACTTGCCCCTGTTCTTAAGTGTTTTCCGAAAGTTAACTTAGCAAAAGACACCTTTAATAGTCTCAACACTTGTCTCCAGATTTTTGGGGAACTGCAACAAAACTGTAGGTGAAATCCAGAGAGGTACAAGAAATATGTTTTGGTCATCTGAATGACCAAACGTCATTTCCTATAAATACAGTGTCACACCCTGACATGAGACTCCCTGTCTTCCAGGGCATGGGTTATCTACATGCCAAGGGCATCGTGCACAAAGACCTTAAATCCAAGAATGTCTTCTATGACAACGGCAAAGTGGTCATCACAGACTTTGGCCTGTTCGGGATGTCGGGTGTGGTCCGAGAGGGACGGTGAGTTGGCCTTGGGTGTCTGGACAGAACGGGGAGGCCTAGGTGGTGCTGGGTGGGCCTCGACGTCCCACTGAAGGGCAGCCCCCCTGCAGGAAAGCCCAGATTTGCTTTGGTTCTGGTCCAGAATCAGCCTTGAGTGCCACGAGGTCTGTCAGCTCTTGCTGCCTGGCAGATCCCCAGGGAGCCTGGGTCCCCTTGTTCACATCTGTCCTGTCTGCTCACTGACTTGGGCAGGTGACCAGGGTTCACATCCCCCCCGGGGTTCCCCAGGAGGAAGAATGGCAGCCCCAGGCTGAGTGGTGAGACCCGCAGGTAAATGTGGTTTCCTGCAGGGAGACAGGGGAGTCAGGCACCTTCAAGTGCAACTCCTTGCCCTTACCTAGCCTTGGCTTCCTCTCCTAGGAAGCCTGGTGGTCCTCCTTGGCAGCATCCCCCAAGGAATGCAAGTGCAGGATCCACATTCTGCCTTCCTGGGCCACACTTTGGTGGTGGGTGGCATGTGCGTTCCCCGGGGCAGATGTGTGCCAGGCGGCCTCCTGCTGAAAGGCCTGTGCCCTTGCTGGCTTCTTGCCCTGCAGGCGTGAGAATCAGCTGAAGCTGTCCCATGACTGGCTGTGCTACCTGGCCCCTGAGATCGTGCGTGAGATGACCCCCGGGAAGGACGAGGATCAGCTACCGTTCTCCAAGGCTGCTGACGTCTATGCGTTTGGGTAAGCAGCTCCCCCACCCCTGGACCGCCGTCCCTCCTGCTGGGACAAAGTGGCCAGAAGAGAGGGCTCTGCTGGCCACTGGAGCAGGCAGGCTTTGAGTCCTGGCTTTGCTGCCTGACCTTTTCTTTCCCCACATGTAAAATGGGGAAAGAGTTGTTTCATGAGAGCTACTTTAGTTCATTGTATAAAATGCCTAACTTAGGGTGTCAGCCTCACCCACTCACTGCCCCTGAGGTCAATCACCCAGGCTAAGAGAACTGTCCCTCTGGGAGAATGGGTGTCCTGCCAGCCAGCCTCCAAAACTGACCAAAGGAAAAATCAAAATACGGAAATCTAATGTGAACCAACTCTGTAAAGCTTACTCTTTGCCACATTAAAAAGAAAAAATGCATAAAATCAATTTTAATATTTGATTCAGTGTATCTGAAAAATTACACCTCAGCATGTCAGCACAACTAATGAGCCGGTTTATCCTGCAGAGTTTCTAAGTCTGATGTGTAGTTTACGCCGCAGGATGCCTGGCTCCACTTGCCCCAGGCAGCTGCTCTGTCACTGTCTGGAGAGTGGCCCCCGCGTGGGCTCTGTGGGCCTAACAGAGAGGAAAGGTGAAGGCCCGGGGAGAGGCTGAGGAAGGCCTTGCCTCTGCAGCTGCTCTGTAACGGCTCAGTGTCTTCCCCCTTGGGTTCTTCTTTTCCTACCCTCACCTTCACCTAATCACTACGATTTTCCTGCTTTTCCTGAGCACCACATGTGCCAGGCACTGGACTTGGTTCTTCTGTTGCTGCCAAACAGCCCTGGACACAGGCATCAGGCCTACTGGGTTTAGCATTGGTACCAGGAACTTGAAGCAAGAAAGTAGGGAGCTGATGTTCATCTTCCACTCAGAATGATCTGGAACGCTCTCTTTAGAGCCTCGCTGCTCCAGACTTTGTCATTAGGAAGCAGAAGCCCAGCTGCAAGAGGGGAGTACGGGGTCCCAGTGGAGCCACCAGGATGCCATCACAGCATCTCCTGGAACCTGGCTGTGGTTTAGGCTGCAGGAAGGATGCTTTGGCTGGGCTCCTGGCAATGCAGCTTCAGGGGCCCCTGAGCATGAGCTGGGAGCAATCCAGGATCTCAGGTCGTGTGATGGGTCTTCCTCCACAGGACTGTTTGGTATGAGCTGCAAGCAAGAGATTGGCCCTTTAAGAACCAAGCTGCAGAGGCTTTGATCTGGCAGATTGGAAGTGGAGAGGGAATGAAGCGTGTTCTGGCCTCCGCCAGCCTGGGGAAGGAAGTCACCGTGAGTAACCACCTGCTCCTGGAGGGTGGGACAGGGCAAATGACATGGCTGCCCTGCGGTAATTCACCTGAGTTGCAGGTGTGTGCCAGGCAGGCCCCTTTGCTGCATCTTCAAGACCATGTCCTTGATCACCCCACTGTTCACTTTTTTTAAAAGACTTATTTATTTATTCATACATGAACTGGGTACATGCCAAAGGTACAGGGGTAAGAGGATTCACCAGAGACAGAGTGGGGAGCAGGACAGGCGGAATGACAAAAATACACTGCTGAAGGGAGCAGCAGGCAAAACAGCAGAGGTCTGCCGCATCATGTGGGTCACCTCCTTGGCCAGGGGTTGAGCTCGTTCTGCAGTGACTTGATCGTGCTGAGACTTTAATCCCTGTGCCACCAGGGAGGCCCCACCCTCTTGACTTTATATAAAGCTCCTCAGAGTCCTGAACTAATTGGAATTTCTTAAGTGCAGTTATGGCCTTTGGAAGCCTTTTAAGAATAGATTTAGGACTACTAGGAAGAGGGGAAGTTGGGGCAAATAGAAAATGGTCTAGCGTGCAGCTTCTGATTCAGCAGAGTTGTTTTCCTGTTCAGTTTTTTTTACTTTTTAACATGTTACTGTTGGAAGGTGGGATGGGTATTGGCCAAAGGGAAACAAAAATTTTGAATCATATCAAAAACAGGAAGTGCACCTCTCTGTGTCCCTTCAGCCCTACTGCTGAATGTTTACCATCCTGTGCTGCTTTATCTGATGAGACAGAAACAGTTGTTATGCACAGAAAGGTGTCAGAAGGCCAGGTTCTTAATGAAAATCAGCATACCTTTGAAGAAAGGACCCTTCAAAAACCCAACTTCTTGTCCTATCAACTTTTCCTCTTCTCCTCCTCTCCCCTCCCCACACCTTTCCCTGCTCAGCTTTCATCATCTTTCTCTTTAATTGTTAAGGTTGATTTCCTTTTGTCATGGTTAATTAAATCTCCTATATTATACATGTAGCTTGGTGCTAAATGTGGGAATACAATAAATAGTATGTACTGTATAATAGATTATAGTTGCCATTTGCTGCTGATGAGATACTAGTTCACTGGATTATGTTTTTTTCTTATGGGTCCAGCTTTCTTGTACAGTTTTAGGATTCTCCTGTAGTTTCTAATTGCCTTTCTTTTTTGTTGTTGAAAAAAGAAACAAACACCATTTCCATTTTCCTGAGGTCTTGTTGCTCCTTCTATATTCTGTTTATTGATAGAATCTGTTCCATTCTTTTTGGAGCCAACTGATTTCTTACCATCTCAATGAATAGAATCTTGGGCCTGCTGCAGAGTTGTCATTCTTCTATTTTGTTTTTTTTTAAAGATTTATTTATTCATATAGAACTGTGGTACAGGCCAGAGATGTGGAGGGTGAGAGGCTTCACCAGAGACAGAGAGGGGAGCAGAACAGGCAGATCGACGAAGTACACTGCTGAGGGGAGCAGCGGGCGGGCCAGGAGAGGTCTGCCACGCCATGTGGATCTCCTCCGGGGCAGGCGGGGATTGAACTCATGCAGAAGTAGCTTAAGCTTCCTAGTGCTGTGCTTTAACCCGCTGCACCACCAGGGAGGGCCCACTGTTTTGTTTTTTTATTCATTCCTGGATCAGTTATCCAACCCCTGTGTCTCATCTTCACATTTATTTCCCATTTTGCACTCCAGCAAATTGAGAGTGAAATTTAAAGCAACAGCCTCCTAGCAGATGCATAGGAGAATTTGAATCCTTGCATGCCTAAAAAAAAAAAACTTTATATTGTCCTCAACTAGGAGTAAATTCTGGATTCATAATAATTGTTCCTCAGACCATAAAGATTAAAAATGCTGTCTACCAAGTGCCCAGTGCATTTTTTAGAAGCATGGCGTTGGTATAATTTCAAATTTTTGCATAAACCCTGTTTTATTTTTTTTTTGGAAATACCTAGAATCTTCTCTTTATCCATGTTACAGTGAAAATATATCTGAGGGTAGGTTTTTTTTTTTTTTCTTTTTGTAGTGAGGTCTCTTTATTGAGCCTTTTCAGTGGAAGATTTCTGTTCCTTAAAAGTGGCTGGAAATTTTTCTTTCATGTTTTTGATAGCTTCCTCTTCTTAACATTTTTTTTCTCTTGTAGAAATTCCCATTTGACAGATTTGTGAGTGAGCCTCTGTGTCTTTTACCTTTATTCATATTTTCTTTTTGAAAATTTTATAATAGTTTATTTTTACATATTTTTGTGCATTTTCCATCTCAGTTGCAATCCCCTTGGGTTTCCCATCACCAAATCACCCATGTGCCATTACCATAGCATATTTTCAATCCTTTCAATTGGGCCCACAGTTTGGGGAATTTCCTTGATTTTATCTTCTAGTATTTGTACCTAATGATGTTTCAGAAGTTATATGACTATATATTATTGCTTATTTGTGGATTTCTATTGTACCCTGGTTTTGTTTGATAGAATTGATTCTATAAGCGCACTCGTGCACACACACACACACACACACAGTTTCCTCCAGTTGGTGCTATAGTTGGTTTATCTTTGCTCTCTTGTTTTCCTGACATGGTGAACAGCCCCATGAAGTCTAGTCGTGTTTCATAACAAGAACTCGAGCTTCTGAGTCTAAGTGGATGTGTACTTTCTGTCCTCTCCCATGAGTGCTTTCTACCTGGTGGTGTGTGCAGGCCTATTTTCTCACACCTTATTCTGAAGCAAAAGCACAAAGGTCTGCCAGCTCTCCATATAAATGGATCCTAAGAATAGGCAACAGAATGCCAATGTTAGATGGTTTTACTGGGGAGGAAAGGCAAGTGGGATATCTGTTCCTTTCACTCTCAACCACCAGCCGGGATTCGTCCTGCCGTCGCTGCCAGCTTCCTTGAGCCTTCAGGCCAAGGCTCAAACTCTTGTTACATTTCACCTGTCAACAAATTGCTTTCCATTATAAAAAAATCAGTGACTTCATTTCTGATCTACTTCTTATTACCTGTTAATGAAATCCCTGGGCTTCATTGTTGTTCCTCATTGTGTTGGCCTTCTAGGAAAGAACGGCCAAGGTCATCTATCTCCTTTTTAACTGGAAGCTTGTGAGTTCTTCTGAATGTCACTTATTTCTCTGCTCTACCCCAGTCATCTGATGCCAGCAGGGGATTCAGGGGCTCCTTGAGAACACTGGAGGGACCCTGTGCACAGTGCCCTAACAGTGCCTTCCCTGCTTCCAGCCAGCTGTCATGCCCACTAATGCCAGCTCTACTTACAGGAGATCCTGTCTGCCTGCTGGGCTTTCGACCTGCAGGAGAGGCCTAGCTTCACCTTGCTGATGGACATGCTGGAGAAACTGCCCAAGCTGAACCGGCGACTCTCCCACCCTGGGCACTTTTGGAAGTCTGCGGAGTAAGTACCCCATCAGGGAGCCCTACCTGCCAGGCATCTCAGTGGGCTCCACCAGCTGTTTCCACCCAAAACTTTAATCTGAGGGATACACAAAGCAGATGACCCAAGGTAACTAGTTCCTTGCCCAAGTGAGACGAGGGTTTCATTTACCATGTTTATTTCAGAGATTCCTTCATGGCCCATGGTCATTAGTTCTGTACTGGGCTCAAACTATTCCCAGACTAGAAATTCTGCTTAGGGTGGGGCCAGAGCCAGCACCACCTGGATCAGAACGTTACTAAACCCAGTAGCTGTTACTTAAAATGGCGCAGACTCAACACAGAGCTTTCTAACCCCAAATGAGCCACCTGTCATTGGAACATCACCAGTTGTGTGGTGCTTTGATCCGTTTAATCACACAATCCTTTGCACCCTTTGGAGCAGGGATGGTCTCCACTGGGCAGGGAGACAACTTCAGCTCCCTACTTTTGTCCTGTTCCTTCTTTCTTTGCCCCTCTGACCCCTCTGTGCCAAAAAACAGACCTCTACCCTGCCTTGAGCCCTCTTTGGAAATCTGGGGAAACCCTTCCTTATTCTGTGTCTCAATTTACACAGCTTTAAAAAGAGGGTTTTTGCCAAGATTGGGGCTGGGCCAACTTAAGACCAAGGGGAGGTGTTTCAGGCATTGCTGGCCACCAGCTGTTGGTACTGCCACCATCACTGGGTTCTGCAGCAGGCCCAGCAGCAGGGTGAAGCCAAGATACCCACTGTGTGCTGTGTGTGCCTCCACCACTCAGCTCTGCGCTTTGACACAGGGACAGCTGCTGACTAGCCGTAAACCAGCGGGCTGGCTCTGCTCCCATAGGCTTCATAAGTTCTGATTTTCCCCCAACTCTTTAGAAATGTAAAAGCCATTCTTACTGTCCAGGGGTGGTGGTGACAGCCACCTCCTAGTCTAGAAAGAGTCAGATTGGAACTATTTTAGATTTGTGGGTCATATGGTCTCTCTCCCGTGTTCTTGGAGTGTTTTTTTTTTTTTGGGAGGAAACAAGGGTACAGCTCTTAAAAATGGCCAGTCTTTTGGTGGTCAAATTTGGCTTACATGTGGTTTGCCAGCCCTTGCCTTGCAAACAAACAAACTGGCTTCAGGCTGTAGGGGAGGGGAGGCCCCGCACCCATTGCCCAGGCAGAGGATAATATAGGAGAAGTTGCTGAAGGTAGACTTCACTGGTTTAGCCCAGTGGCAGAGACAGTCTGGAGGAATGACAGCTGGGGGTTGGGGAAGGCTGAATTTGTAATGCACTGTTAGATTCAGAACTGTTCTCCTAAGATGGGCATAGTTAGAGGCTTTTTGCCCAGCCATTCCCAAGTATCGCTGTCACCTGGGGAGGCAGAAAGGCCCAGGCCCGCCCCTCCCAACGTGGAGTTTACAGTCAGGCAGATGAGGGGATGCTTATGTGGGGTGCTGTGAAAGGCATACCTCTGGGGCTGCACAGGTGGCCTCCTTGCAGGGACCCTGAGGAAGGGTCCCCAGAAGGGGTTCTTGGAGCTAGGTTTGGAGCAGGAACTCTCCTGGCAGAGACTGAGGTCTGGGGTTCTCCTAGATTTGCAGGAAGTTCAAGGATCTGGTTTACAGAGCTTGGGCTCCTCGTGTTAGCACCAGGCCCTGGTTTTCTCATCCCCACAAGACCAGGCTGTGCTAGGTGGGTGCTCACATTCAGGAAAGATTCTGGGTTCCCGAAGACCCTGTCACCCCATCTTCTCATTTCATGTGGGAAGCTGAGTTGCACATTGGCTCCTGCCCAGAGCACCAGGGGTGCCCTCCCAGGCGGGAGCACCAGCGTGCCTGAATAGGGCTGCGACGAAGCTTCCTTTTCATGATCTTCATTTGTATGTGCGCAGCCTCTAATTCTCATTTTCTCTTTTCTTTTCCATTGGCCTTGTTGCTTTCTTTTGGGGGGGTGGCGGATGCGCTGGCCTGTCTGTCATCTCCCCCTCTCCCTGCCATCTGGTTCCTGCGACCCCTCTTCACCTGCCCGACGCCATCTCACCGGCGGGACTGCGCCCTGCCCACACCTGGCACTCCCAGTCGCTGGCGGAGCCGCTACTACGGGAAAGGACGTTACGGTCACCCCGACTTTAAGAACTCCTGTCCAGTTCTGGAGGAATAGTGTGTCTTCTGTGACCCCTTCATTCTCTGCCTGTTTGCGGTTATCGCTCTGCACCTCCTGCTTCTGTCCTGTCTCTGCACCCCACTTCCCCATCTTTGTGTGTTGTAGCCCCAGAAACCAAAGGCACGTTCTTACAGCTGAAGTGGTCAGTATCAGGGCCACGCCGGCTTGCAGGCCTCTCACTGGGCTGAGGGAAGGCCCAGGCGTGTGGCAGAGCCTCTGACCACACACCATGGCAACAGAGGCCAGTCTCCCTGCGGGACAGAGGCCGGGTCTCTTTCCCGGGCCCCGTGGTCTCCCTTGGCCAGAGCTACAGAAGGGAAAAGAGCAGCTGTAGTGAACTCTGTAAGTCAAGGCTGACAGTCAGTGAGGAGGGGCAGCGGGCCTGTGCCAGCCTCTGTATGCCACCCTGGGACTGTGTCCTGGGGGAGCTGGGGAGTGACTCTCTCTGCTCGGCCCTCATCTGAGCAGACCCTGCCGCCCCTCTAGCCTGGAGGCGCCCCTCTAGCCTGGAGGCGGGGCTTCCTTTCTCCTAAGGAAGGAGAGTCCCCTCCTCCGCCCGCCCCGCCCCGCTGGGGTTCTGACACTGCTCTCTCCCCTGTCCTCTCCTCCGTAGGTTGTAGGCCTGGCTGCCTTGCATGCGCCGGGGGCTTCCTCCCTCCTAATCGACAACCAGCGCTGTGACCTCTGCTCAGACGCAAACTGAGGCTCGGGCACTAACCCAGGGGACATGATCTCTGCTGCTCCGGTCTTCTCTCCTGAGACTTCTTTTGCTTTGTTTCTTTTAAAACTGGCTCTCTGCGCGGCCTCCGTGGGCCTCAGCGACCACCCTCCCTGGATGGCCCTCCTAACAGACCTCTGAACTGCCTTCCCGGATGGGACTCCTTCCTCTCTAGTTCTTCTTCTGTGGGGGTCTCTTGTGTTTGTTTGGGTGGTCCCATCTCCCTACTAACACCTTGGTGAAAGTTACCCCACCAATCTGAGCACACTGGGGTGTCTGCACTACAGGGTGGGGTTTTGCTTGATGGTTAACCTTTAGGGGGTTCTTCTCCAACGAAGGAGTGGAATGATTTCAGAGCTGCCCAGGGACAGTCTCCTGCTGTTGGGCTGGGGGTGGACACCACAGTCATGCTGCCATGAGAGATGACCAGCCAGGAAGGGCAGTGTCCTCAGAGGCTCACTCTGGAAGCTTTCTTAAAGCCAGTGGGGCAGTGCGGCCTGTCTCCAAACACACTAATGAAAACAAAATTTCTGTCCTCTCCTCCTGAAAGTTACCCCCTTTACTCCTGCCCGGTACAAACAGAAAGTGCTAGATCCCAAGTACTGGACAAGGTGTGGCTGACAGGCCACACCCAGCAACACCTCTCATCCAGCATAGATTCCCGAACCCCCAAGACCTGAGTCGGGGTCTCTGGAAGCAGGCTCTGAATCCACATCACCCAGCTTCTCAGATGGCCCTGATACCCCCCATGATTGAGGGCCATTTCCTACAGGGGCTGTGATGTCATGCTCTGTAGTGGGGGACAAGTATCGTCCCCAATTGTGCTCGGGGCCAGAGCTTTCCTCGGCTGCTGGGAGAAAGCAAGCCTGATGAGCCCGCAGCAGTCACAAGCAAGCCAGGTGCTGGGGGTTGAGATCAGGAAGCCACTGCCCTGCGGGCGGGGAGTATGGCCAGGCGCTTCCCACGGCCACCCGTGACCAAGAGCAGCTGTACAAGGCCAGTGCCCTGCAGTCATTCCCGCTTCTCGGTGGGGCAGGGCCCTCTGCCAGCTGCTGGAACTGGCCCTCCCTAGTGGCACCCTCATCTGACCAGGACCAGCAGGGCTATAATCCATATCTTTGTTCCTCTTTGCAGCATTAGCAGCAGCAAAGTTGTACCCCGGTTTGAAAGGTTTGGCTTGGGCGTCCTGGAGTCCAGTAACCCAAAGATGTAACCGGCCATGTGGTTTTTCTGCTGATTTCTTTCGTAAATGTATTTCTAAAGTACCCAAACCACCACCAAGACAAAGAAAACACTTTGAAACTTCAGCCACGATCCTAAGCGCTACAAACCAGGAATAAAAGACCTAAATTCAGACTATCCCATGAAAACGTGGGTCTGGGAGCTCGAGCCGTGCCTGCTGTTTCTTAAAATGTCACCACAACCAACCTTCCGTCCCCAAAGACAGAGAATGTTTACATGTATGTGTCTGCGGAGTGAACTTGATGTTTTACAATAGGTAATAATAAAAGCAGTCATGTCGAGCGGGATGGTGAAGTGGCCGTCCCCCTCCCCCTCAGCGGACCCTGCAGGTGGTGAGGCCCACGCTGGGCCAGAAGGAAGAAAAGCATCGTGATGTGGCTGTTCTCACATCAGCCAGGAGGACCTCGAGCCTGGCCTGGCCCGGCCCCTGCTTTGGCCCTAAAACCCATCAGTGGAGATCTCCTATGTTCTGTCAAAGGACACTTGCCTTCCTCCTCTGGTGGAGAAAACCCAGCTAGGACCTGAGTTGGATTAGGGGGGCTTGGGTTCCCAGAGAGCTTTGGTTCACCTCTGAACCCCATAAACCAGCCAACAAGGAAGGTGGAGACAGAATCCTCACCTGACTTCCCACTACTTGTATAGAAATTGTTTCATGAAACCCCCAGGAAGGCACCAAGGAGATGGAACCTTGGTTTTTCAGACACATCCAAGGCCCTGACATTTGGCCCCAGGACTAAGGCCCAGCTGCTGCTTATACCTTGAAGGCTTGATGAGATCAAGGAAGTTAAGGGAGGGAGAAGTAGGGACTCTGGGTCTCTGAGCTCCCCACCTTCCCAGTCCCAGGGTGACCTGCCCGTCGGAGCCCACCATCAGTGGGCAGAGGTTCCAGAAGTGTCCACCTTCTCCGCTCCCCCTTTGCAAGGCCTCCACTGCCCAGGTTGGAGACATGAGCGAAGATGGGAGCCACATGCCCCCAACCTTTTCATTTAGGTCTACCGAGCAGGCCCTCCGATCTTCAGAGCCTTCCCAAGCTCTTCTGTGTCCCCTGGAACTGGAGGAGGGGCTGGGTTTGGGCCAGGCGTGTGTGTGAGCACCCGGCCTGTGCAGAAGCTGCCACTTAAAGAGAAAAGTGCCAGATGCCACAGAAATCCGCAAGTGGACATCATATTGGGCTCTAGAACTGGGAGGAAAGAAGTGCCGAGTGGGGATGAGGGTGGGTTCACACTCAGCCCAGTGGCTGTGCTTTGAGCTAAGGTAGGGGCTGGGGAGGGGTGCAGGCGACCCCCAGCAAAGTTCCCCACCCGAGGAGCCTCCTGAGTGTAGTCAGAGCATCATCGAAAACGGGCCAGTGCCTCCGGCTGTGAGGCTGCCGTCCTCTCCCAGGGCCCCTTTAGACAACCCTGTCCCAGAGGACAGCTGTGCGGGATGCCAGCCGCCTGGCTTCCTGTGAGACCTGCCCCTACCTGGTCAGGATGTGGGGAGGAAGCCTGAGGAGCTGCGACCAGTGGGCCAGCTCTGTGGGGCTCTGCTGGGAGACCGTTCCAGTCACCCCCTCTTCGTGACCTCCCCCAGCCAAAGCCGTCTGGTGTGTGACCACCTCCTCTGGTTAAGCTAAGTCGGGATCCTGCACCCCACTCGCCCCTTCTCAGAGGTCACAGTTTGTATCCATGTTTCCATGGACACGCCGGTGAGCCTGGGGGGGTTGGACAGCAGCCAAGCAAGGGGAACTCAACCCTGCCCAGCCCAGGCTACTAACAGCCCACAGAAAATCACCCGCGTTTTGTTTCCCATGAATGTCACTCCTGGTGAGTTCAGGTTTCCTTGGGCACCGGTGGTGTCCTGTGTTCGTGCTGAGGGCCTTGAGGGTGGAGCTGAGGGCCTGGGAGACAGCCCATTCTCTAAGGCTCTGGGTCTCTGCACCGCCTGCCACTGGAGAGAGACCCCTGGGGAAAGTGTCCCCACATGGTCCCCTGCTCCCTCTATTTAAGTGACTGTGAATTGAGGGTAGGGGGCAAGCATGCCCTTGCGTGTGCTCTCCCCGGCTGCCTTGGAAACACATGAAGGACGGCAGATACTGTGAATTTAGCCCCCATGGCCAACTGTGAAGTGGATGTGGAAGGCTGGGGGGGGGGCTCCTTGATGAGCACTCTGGGGGCTGCAGAGACCCCCTCACCTCTGAGAATAGAGCCCAGGCTTTGGCTCCTGACAGCCCCAACCTCTAAAGCCCTCTATGTCCCTGCTGCCTTTAACTCCAGAGCCACAGCCCAAGTTTCCCTCCAACTCTAGGTTATTCGTTGACCTCTGGTATCACCAAACCCAAGATGCTTGTGGGGCCCTGGGTCCCTCTGCTCCCTCGAGGGGTTTCTTGTGATCACAGAAGGGAGGGGCATGCCCTGTGAGCCTGCGTGGGCTGTGCCGGTGGGATCGGGGGCTGTGCAGAGGCATAAATGTGAAGTGGACTAGGAGCTTGCTCAGCCAGGATTTCCATCTGTGTACAAATCCGGCGTCTTCTGTAGCCACAAGGCACACACTTGCTTTTTTGAATGTGATGTAAAGTTTGTACAGTAAAAGTTTTTATATTTTCTATCAACTGCATTTGTCTTCCAGAAAATGCTATTAATTTAAATTAAAATGGTTAGTATTAATGAACCAGTTGTATCTGTCTTATCTCGTCACTGGCGTGTGCCCCCGCCAGGCCAAGCCTGGGTGTCTGGAGTGTGAGTTGACATGTACCGGGTGGTTCTGGGTCAGTGCTGGAGCAGGGTGGGGGACTGCTCAGATGGGCAGCGTGGGAGGGCGGGGACAGAGGGCTTGGGGTTTTAGTCCCCTCTGGAAGCTCCTTCCAAAGGAAGACAGAAGTGGGGCATGGGCCTGGAAGGCAGGTCTTTCCAACAGGGATGAACAGAGACAACAGCACCAAAGGCACAGAGAAGCCTCACGCAGACAGACCGTGAGCAGACCCAGAGTCTCCTCCACTGACGGTGCCTTTACCTTCTGGATGCCTTGGAGTGGGGAGAGAGGAGGTGGTCACCCAAACCTTTTTTCTAACTGCTTCTTGTTGGGAGTGAGTGACCAAATGAGGAGATTTACTGAGGGACTGGATAAGGGCAGTAATAAATCAGGCCTTGCATCCAAAGGTGATAAGGCGGTAATAAATTGGGCCTTGCATCCAATTAACGGGGTCTTGCATCCTCGATGGGACTAGATGAAGGTGATAACGAACTGGGCCTTACATCAAGGGACGTAGCGATGAGTCATCCCTTTGGAATTGGAGTTTTAAATCTGTATAAGAGACCCTTCCCCCCTATAGGGGTGGCAGTAGCTGCGGACCCTACTCTTGGGCTGTCTCAGCTGCTGCCCAAGAGCAATAAACTGTTTGCTCAGCCTCTCTGCCTTTCGTCTTTCTTCCTTGCGTCTTTCTTCCTTGCGGCTGGTCACAGAAGTTGGGGCAAAACAAATTGGTGCCGAAACCCAGGACGGCTGAGTAGAGCCGTCCTCTGAACCTTTTCTGTGGCCTGGCATGCTTCTTTTCTCCTCTCTTTCCTTCTCTTGGAAATGTGCGTGTGGATGTGAGTGAATCAACAGCTCTTACACCAGTCCTAGCGCACCGGCTCGGGCTTGAATGGGACTGCATCCTTAGCCTTGAGACCTGAACAGCTTAGTGGAGACTTGGCCGATAGCTCTAGGCTTGGCCAACCAGGCGTGGGGCTTATACACGTGCTTCTATGCCAAGGGAATCTTTGGATTCCGCGAGGAGTCAGGCGGGAACAGTCAATTTGAATGCACCCTGATCCCTAAGGCCTCCTGGCCTCCCTTTTTGTTACAATCTTTCTGTTGATCTTGGTGTTTTCCTCCTCTTGGTATCACCTCTGTGGTGCCAAAAATATCACGTGATTACATCACAGGAATGAGGTTAGGGTAAGTCACCCCGATTTTGGCTCAAGAACACCCTTGACTCCCCTTCTTTTTTTTCTCCTTTCTCTCAGTGTGGTCCCTCCTAGGGCGTACTCATCCCTCCCAGCATGTTATTTTTTGGTCCCTCCCAGGGCATAGCTTGTTAAATTTGTCCCTCCTAGGGCACACTTGGCTCTTAAGCCGGTTTTTTTTCCTTCTCTCTTCTCTCTACACTTAATGGGTAACTCTTCAGCCAAGGCAGGTAACTTAAACCCCCTCCAATGCATCCTCCGTCATTGGGATACTTTGGGTTTTAAACAAGATGGCCTAAAAAAGAAAAAAATTGTTTCTGTAATGTGATATGGCCCCGGTACAAGTTAGATAATGATCACCAGTGGCCAGAAGGAAGAACACTTGATTAATCAGTTCTTAAAAATCTAGATATGGGGCCCTCCCTGGTGGCGCAGCGGGTTAAAGCACTGCACTAAGAAGCTTAAGCCACTTCCGCATAAGTTCGATCCCTGCCTGCCCCGGAGGAGATCCACATGGCATGGCAGACCTCTCCTGACCCGCCCACTGCTCCCTTCAGCAGTGTGCTTCATCGATCTGCCTGTTCTGCTCCCCACTCTGTCCCTGGTGAATCCTCTCACCCTCCGCATCTCTGGCCTGTACCCCAGTTCTGTATGAATAAATAAATCTTTTAAAAAAAATCTAGAAATGTTGTAATATCGCATGGGCAGACACTCTGAGGCCCCTTATCTTCAGATTTTCTTTTATATCCGTTCCCATCCTTCACTTCTTAAGCTTTGCAATCCTTCCTATATATTAGTGGCAAAAATGGGCATTACCGGCTATTCCCGTCCCCATTGTTCAAACCCAACCCACCCCCTTCCCATGGATGAGGAGGGAGACTATCCTTTCCCCTCCACTCTGGCATCTGACCCACCCCCACCATATCTCACTCAAGAAAAAAAGGCCCAGAACTCCCCGATTACAGGACATGATAGCAACAAAGAGGATAGTAGCAACCGGCCTGAAGTCCCATATGGGAAGGGGACCATATCCCCAGGACTGGCAGGTCGGACCTGATCACATGACCCCCCAACTGGTCCTTCCACTTCACGAAGTGGCAGGACCGGAAGGCACCATTAAGATCTATTCGCCTTTTCCACTTTCAGAGCTCTCAAACTTAGAAAAACGGCTTGGCTCCTTTTTAGGTGACTCTATACAATACACACAGGAGTTCACTTTCTCCATCAATCCTTAGATCTAACGTGGCAGGACATCAATGTCATCCTAGTAGCCACCCTCCCGTCAGAGGTCAAAGAGCGGGTCTTTCAGGCAGCCAAAGAACATGCAGGTCGCCAACATGCCCTTGATTGGGACCATCCGGTAGGGGGTGAGACTGTTCCAGATCAGGACCCAAACTGGGAATATCAAAGAGATAGTCCAGGTAGACTTAGGAGAAACATATATGTCGTCTATCTAATAGCAGGCTTTAATGCCACGGCTCAGAAAACCATGAATTATGACAAGCTCAAAGAAATTTCTCAGGGAGCTGATGAAAACCCGGCACCCTTCCTGGGTCGCCTTACCCACTGCCTACGAAAATACACTCATCTCAATCCCGAACAACCGGCAGGACAAGCCATATTAGCATCCCACTTTATTATGCAGTTTCACCCAGATACTAGAAGGAAAATAATCAAGACAGAAATGGGACCTCAAACTCCCATTAAAGAATTACTAGACATAGCTTATAAGGTTTTCAATACTCGGGATGAGTCAAGAGTTCAGCAGCAGGGTACTCTGGTAATGGCTGCAGTTATTCTCAAAGCCAAAGGGAATCTCACAGAGGGGCATGCTTTAGATGTGGTGATACCAGCCACCGAGAAAATCAATGTCCCCACCGGTTTAATCACCCCCCCCCCCAGGGCCCTGTCCTCAGTGTGATCAACTGGGACATTGGAAAATTCAGTGCCCTAAAAATACACCTACAAGTCCAAAGTTGGTACAAACCCCAACGCCGAGCAACCTGGCCCCTCAATTACCTTCCATCTTTTCCTCCGATAAATGGGCTCCCCTGAATACAGCACTTTTAGCCCTATTGGAATAGGGAGGCTTGGCGGTTGTTCCCATGGGCATTGATGAGCCCCGGGTCCCTGTGATGGTGGCTGGCACCCCGATTCAATTCTTGCTTGATAGGGGAGCCACCTTCCCTGTTTTAAATGAATGGAAGGGGCTGACCATACCGGCTCCTCATCTGTCTATTATGGGGGTAGAAGGAGTCCCTAGATCCCCATGCCTAACTCCCCCTCTTAATTGTAATTATGGAAATGTTAACTTTACTCATTCCTTACTGGTTATGCCTGAATGTCCCATTCCTTTGCTAAGACGGGATCTCTTAAAAACACTCAAGGCGAGGGTATTCTATGTCCTGTAATATCAAGTTTAGGGAACTTGTCCCTTCCTAAAGATTCCTCTCTTGTTATATGGGATGTCTCTAAGCCGGTGGTAGTTCCAACCCAACCGCATGAGGTTCGTCTAAAGGATCCCTCTCAAATTATCCAGATCCCTCAGTTTTATCTCCCTGACTATAAACTGAGGGGTTTAAAACTGGTCATTATGCAGCTGTTAGAATGGGGTCTCCTACGACCGGCTGCATGGCCCTTTAACACTCCCATATTGCCGGTAAAGAAAGTCATGGAAAAATATCGCTTAGTACAAGATCTGCAGGCTATAAATGAGGCCACCATCCCGTTGACACCCTTAGTCCCTAATGCTTCCCAAATCATAGAATCTGTTCCCCCTTCTATGACCTTCTTCTCAGTCATTGACCTGCAGGATGCCTTTTTTACAGTCCCACTACACCCGGCCTCACAAGGTTATTTTGCCTTTACTTGGACTGACCCAGATACAGGTTTAAAACAGCAACTGACTTGGACTGTTTTACCGCAGGGATTTAGGGACAGTGGCAGGAAAATCAGAATGGATTCATAACTCTCGAGTTTTTTCTACAGGACCAACACATGCATGGTCAGTTATGTCCACTGGACCCACAATACTTCGTCTCTCCTGACGAGTAACTCCTCTGGACCCAGTTCCTGAAAACAGTTCTTCCAACGTTGCACCCCGATCTCCGGAATTGGACCCTGTTTAGATATCATGTGGAATATGAATTCCTACAAGGAACCTTTATGGATTTTGACCCTGTACATTCTGCTTTCTTTTCTGGCCTAACTTACTCATCCTCCATTTCTCCTGATACTCCTGGTTATTGGAACTTCCGACTAACTATTCATAAACCCAGCCCACAGGGATCTACAGTCTCATATTTGGTTGGGCAGGGACTCTGGGACCAATCGAGTGGGCAGGCTCCTCTGTTTCACTGGGATGGTACTTAATACCTCCCAGCAGGCTGGACTACATTAGCCTATCTCTGCTCCCTTATAGACCAAACGGATCAATCCTGTCAAAATAGATATCCAAATTACCTTGGGTGTCCATGGTGGTCGTGTGTTAGAAGGGCTCAATATCAGGGTTATGGTTCCATAACAACCCTTAAGAAAAACACCTTTTGGTATGATCATGCCATCGAACAGTTTATCCTCCAAATCACTGATGCCACAAGGCATTATGTGATCAGGGAGTAGGCATGGGTTTCTATAATAACCAATTTTATAAGACCCCCGACGCAGTCTTGACCATAACAAAAGTATGGGAGGTGGATGA